TATATTAATAATTATTACTATTAATATTACTTATGTGGTGATGTTCTCTTTAGCCAGTTCCCTTTGCAGAAGTTCCCAAACATTTTCTACAGGGTTTATGTCCGGGCCACCGCAAAAACTGGAACTGGAACTTTACATATTTCTAGTCCTTTTTGTAAATATTATGAAACTAAAGATTAATATAAAAAATAATAAAAACCCTTGGTAATTTAAAATCCTTATATTTATTACAAAAAATTTATGAAACATAAATAAACCTTAACTTTTTAACATTGTCTTACTTACATTCTAAAAAGTCACATAATACATGGATTTTGGAAAATGTATTAGAATGCTTCATTTTAAAAAAGTAGGTTTCAATAAATGACCAGACCATGACACATTCTTCTGGGAAATGAAGGTTAAAAATACTTGCACTTTTTTATATTTCATATAATAATAAACCTAAACGCACAACAATCAGGATGGGCGGGCAAGCACGTCGCAACAGGATTAACAGGAATACTAAACTGTTGTTAAATTGTTTTCTTACTTGCATTTTTAGGTGGTGGGAAACAGCAGGGCCTAATATTAATGTATTTAGATATTGGCTCAACGTATTTGGCGATAAAGTTATGATTTGTTGTATTATTTAATATGTTAGGCCATTATATTCATGCTAGGGTACATAAGTTGATGTCTATATAGGCATTAATGTAATAATTTTAGATTATTAAATTATACCATTTAGAGTATTAATCTATTAAGCCTTGACATTAACTTTATCACTGAGCAATGATTAACTAATGTACTCTAGGTTATTGATTTAATGTAAATAATCATCGTATTAATGTAAAATATCATTGTCTTAATGTATTTTGGCTAAAAAATAATAAAATTCTTGCACTAGGATAATGACCAGGCAGACATTGTGACAATCCAATAGTACATTATCTCATATTTTTTAAGCATTATCATAATTACTTGATTGCATTAATACTATGAAAAGGACATTATCGTAATGATTTTGCACTTAATGATCGTAGGACATTAATATCAGGTACGATATTTTTTTCTGTGTAAAATTGTACTAAATGTTAAAATTATTTTATTATCTCAATACAAAAATACAAATGTATTAAATATTTTCTTGACGTTTGATTTCGCCGTAGTAGTGCAGTTAACTAGATTTAACTGATAAAGCGTTAAAAAAAATTGCGTACAGTGCCTAAAAATATTCTCTTCTCTTCTACTGTAAAAAACTACTTCCATATCGAGTTTTGATCTATTTTGGAAGGATAAATTTTGATTTAAGAAATTCTAACAGGAATACCAACAAATACAACTGTCACTTTTTGTACCGTTAACATTTACCGTGTAAAAATTTTTAATACTTTTTGATAATATTTTGCAATTATATTAATAAAAAAAATCAAAGGATAAAATATTGTCTTAACAATGTTAGGGCCGGTTTATCAATATCTGGTTTAGTTCCAGTTAGTCTATCTGACAGTTAAATTCCATATCGATCGTTGTGAGAACAATGGTATCCATGGAGATTATCTGCAAGATAACTAACTGCAACTTTAACTGGACATTGATAAACCGGCCCTTAATGGTGAAAATTACGTCAAAAATGTTTATTGGGGGATAATATTAAGTATTTGTCTTAGAAAAAGTATACTCGTAGTATGCAACTTGTTTATCAAACTTAATACATAATATACTATTTAGTGTTTATAAACTTTAAGAATTAAAAAAAATAATAATTAGCTTCAAAAATGGCGAATGCGTCGGGATTAAAAAATAAAAATCGTTATTATCGAATATTTGCGTTGTTCGCATCAAATGTGCCATTAAAGTTTGTTACTCTGAGTGGGTACGAATAGCGTACCATAATGGTACCATTGGTATTCGGCGAGGTCGCACATCATACCACACCGTATACCTACCTAAACAAATGAACGTCTGAATACCTTGCCTGACCGACCGACTCGACAGTTTAAAATCTTTGCCTTCTTCTGTTCCGAACCGTTTCATTTCTGCTGTCTGATTGTGTTAAGTGTACTTTTTTAATGAATTTTAAACCGGAATTCGTATTCAGGTATAACGTGTCGTGAGAAATCCTTGCCTTCAGTCTCCCAACACATTTTAAGTGTTTCCAATTTAATCGCGATATACCAACTAAACTGCTGTTCTTGCATAAATAGCGTGATCATAAGCCATACTTTTGTCGGCTGGTTTAAATAAAAGTGGACACATCTTAAATACGTATATTTTTATGTACTGGGCGTTCAGAAAATATGACCAATACCATGCCACCAACTTTTTGAAATATATATTTATTTTAATGTGCGCCATACCATGTTGGAATCAGTTTAATTGATTAGCAATTCATTATTTCCGATATCTACCTTTGACTATGATTTACAATGTTTGTCTATTAATCTAACTTGTAATTATAATTCCAAAAACGAACAATACACTAATAATTTTTATCTTTTAGAATTCATGCGTTGAGGTATTTAAAACCTTCAATGGAATTCTTATTTGAAGCGTGTGATATGTGGTCATTTTTCATTTGAACTCTGAACAATAGACAAAAATGTTAACCTTGAATAGGTTAATACCTGGGCGAACATAGTTTACCGTATTTAAATACCGGATTTAAATAAGAATTTCTTTTTTAATCATGATTAGTATGATGAATTTTAAATAGTAATTTAAGTTAAAATAACTATATGTTTTACAGTAAACTAAAACGGCAAAATAACGGTACAAATACGAAAAATTACCAAATATGAGAAATGGTTAAATACGTTATTTTTACTACATAATAAACACCACATATTTACGTAAAAATTACGTTATAATTGCTTAATGTCTGTTTTCTTTTTCTAAACCTTTAACATTTATAATTTCTTTCTATTTAATTTATATTTCAAAATGGTATACCTAAAATAGGTAATAAAGTTTACCATAAAGTAAAATTACCCAATATCTTAAATTAAGAAAACTAATTATTTTTGGCAATAAAACTAAAACACATCTTATCTTATTGATAAAGTAGCTATGATACATCATACAAAATCTATAGGCCTTTAAATTATTCTATTGTTCAAAATAAATATATGTACAAAAAATAAATGTATGTAAAAAATGAATACATCTAAAAAATTATTATTATGTATATTGATACAGGGTAAGTCTTAGTTAAAAATCAGCGGTTCTGAAATAATTTAAAAAAACTGAAAACCTGTCAAAACCAAAAATCTTTATAACTTTAGATAATTATTAAAAAAAGTAAGTTTTACATGTAAATAAACACATTTTTCTACTCCCACCTTCAAAACGCCCTTTATCGTACATGTTTCCATGACACTAAGTGACCTTTTAAATATACATTGACAAGTTGTGGCTTTATGGCGCTTTAGTCACGGGCTGAAGTTAGCAACAGGCTTTTAGTCACTGGCTGAAGTTAGCTTTAAGTTAGTTGACAGTTGTCAAATGTCATACAATCGTTAAAATAAAGTGCCTTTCTTGTAAAATAATACTAAATGTGAAAATTATTTTATTATCTCAATACAAAAATACAAAAGTATTAAATAGTTTCTCAACGCCAATATTTGAAAGGTTTATATGCACATTGTACTGACCTTTTAATTTCGCCGGCAGTAAACTATAACTTAAATTCGGCACGGACTCCACTGTAAAGTCCTCATAAAACATTTTCTTTACTTTCACTGAGAAAAACTGTCAATTTTCAAGAAATACATTTCGATTTATAACCTTTATAATCTGTGTTTATAAAATAGAAAAATGTGACATTTGACGGTGACACACAGATTCCCCTATTGTTTCATAGATGGCGCTCTATACAAATTTTTTATTTAAATCATTTTAAGATAATAATAAGTATTTGTCGTAGAAAAAGTATAGTATACAGCTCGTTTATAAACTTTTCTATACACTCATTAATTTAAGCACTCGCTCGCAAGCTCGTTCGTGCCTAAAATAAATTCGTGTATAAAATTGCGATTATCAGACTTGATATACTATTATCTACGTTTTTATTTAATTTGTAATTTTATACTATTTGTATTTTTTTATAAAATCGAAAGGCGATGGAAACTCAAAACATAGTAGCCAAGAAATTGGATGACATTGTAAAATAATGTGTACTATTTTTTTGTAAATCTTTTAATTAAATAATTTCTCAAGATTCTGTCAAATCATTTTTAGGTTAGGTTTAACTGGTATAATTTGACTTTTGAAGTATTATTATTTTGAAGTATTTATATAGACTATGAGTATTATAATTTAAAAATTTTGGCGGGCTTGTAAAAATTTAGTTTGTTTCTTTTAAGTTATTACTAATAGTTTTTATACCACTTTTAAATATTACAAGAAAGGCACTTTATTGATTGATTGATTGTATGACATTTGACAACTGTCAACTAACTACAGCCCGTAATTAAAAACCTGTTGCTAACTTCAGCCCGTGACTAAAGCGCCATAAAGCCACAACTTGTCAATGTGTATTTAAAAAGTCACTTAGTGCCATGGAAACATGTACGATAATGGGCGTGGAAAAAGTTATTTTTTTCTTTTAATTCATTACTAATAGTTTTATACCCGTTTTAAATATAACATAAGTAAAATTTAGTTTTGAGTAAAAATATTTACGTTGTATTCAACATTAAATATACTTCATTAAAATACTTTACAGTTTTGAAATTGCTGCTTGGGCATGTAATACAATTTAATATCTTCTTAATGTCTATATTATTAGGTTACTTTGTCTTACTAGAATTAATTTTATTATTCTGCATTTAATAAGTCAGGTAAGCCTTAATTTAAAAAGCATTAGAGAAGTTGATAAATACTATTTAAGGAAACTATAATTAGAAATTCCGACAAGAAAAATTTAAATAAAATACTTGATAAAAGTTGTAGTATGATTTGCATAATTGCATTTTAATTTTATTGCTGTTTTTTTAATTAATTTATATTTTTTTCAGGAACAATATCCCCACAAGATTTTCGAGCGTAAAAGCATCGAGGTAAATATTTTCTGTGATTTATTTTTAATTAACGAAGTATTACGTGTTTCCATTTGATTTTGTCCTGATTTATTTCCGAAGAACTTAACTGAGACCAGTGTGTTTTATGTTGCTATAAATTTCTGTGACATCCATAATTATTTACTAAAAACCGCACTAATTTCGTATTTTTAACGATTAATTGATATGAGACAAATAATTGTTAATGCGTACATTCAAATAGAAATAAATTTGCAATTTTATATACGGGGGTCGATACTAACAAGAGTCGTATGATCTTGTAATTCCGAGAAATGTTTATATTGTAAATTAGCGCTGTACACTTTTTGATTGGACTGTATATCATTGTGGACAGGTACGTTCACCTTTTAACAGTCATAATACACTCTTAAAAGTGGTAACCTGTGTCAAGCGTTAAATCAAAGATTCCTTGATCTTTGTTGGGAATTAGTTTCAGCTGAAGTAATTTCCCAAACAACCATATTTCCAACCATACATACTATTTTAGCCAGGTTTGATGCTGATAGCAATCTCTGGATTTAATTATCGAGTTTCTGTCAATATGGAACTTTAAAAATTTAAATATATATATTTATATATATATATATATATATATATATATATATATATATATATATATATATGTTTTCTCTCCAATTAGCATATATGCTACATATATCATAATAATTATAAAGAAGTTCAATTACAGTAGAATAATTTTAGCGATGCCAATGAACTTTTTGATGATACACCACACAAACGTAAAGAGAAAGTAAGAAAATGTTCACAACTATTACCAAGCAGCGGAATACCGATTTATCCGTATTTTAAAAAAATTGTCTCTTGGCACTTGTTTCGCATAAAAGTGGATCATTTTGTTTTATATGCAGTGCAAAATTCGAACAAAATAGTTGCGTTGATATTTGTTTTCAATATTGGTGTTTGCTGTCGCTATTTTTGGTACGTGGATAGGTATAAGTAAGTAGGCACAACATTTGTAACGAAATGGTGTTTATTTTTAACAAAGGACATATTGACTACGCCTACGTGTTTGCGTTACGCTTTCTAATAATAATAAAACTGGAATTCTATGCCAAAATACGGTTTTATTGATTGAAAAATCGATTTAAAATAACGCGCAAGCATTCATAAACTATCTACCAAATGACGATTGTATTATACAGGGTGCACCAAGTATCCTTCTATATATTATTTGAAGAGCTTCAAGAAGAAAACTTGCGTAATGACAAGTCTATTAAAATGGCATTTAAAAATTGCAAAAAAAGTAATTAAAAAAAAACTAGATTTTCATCCAATGTGTGATTTTTTTCGCCTACTGGATTTTGAGTTACCATCATCAACCTTTGGTTTTTTATTGGTATATTACTTGGTTTTATAGAAAAAAATCAAGGAAACCAACGATATACCTTTACATTAAAATTATGATAAAAATTATAGCGGCCATTATAAAAACAAAATATGGTGATGGCAACTCAAAATATAGTAGCATAGAAACTGGGTGAAACTGTGGATATGTGCACTCTTAGAAAAGACCTGGTATTTGCAATGAAAATTTAGTTCCCAGAACCAATTTTATTAGTGAAAATAGGCACAACAAAAAAATTTGTTGTGGGAACCAATACAAATTTGTTTTTACAGTTTGTTGTCGGAACAGCCAATATTGGTAGCTCCAACCAACAAGTTTAAGTGCATCGAAATTAGTTTTTTTTTCCTACAAATAATTGATATTTAATGCAATCAAATTAGTCTGTCATTTTAGCAGCGTCTAAGTTGTAACAACTGCACTTGCTATCTATCGCAACAAACATTGTATCATGCAGGAATTTATTTTTTAATTGAAATTACATGAAAAAAGGTACATTTAAAGAATTTAATAGTTGATATAATATAAATTTGTTTTGTACTGTAACTAAGTTATATTTAATATTAAATGCTTGCATTAGTAGCAACAACAAATTGGTATTATTCCACAGTACATACCTGCTTAGTAAATATAACACTTTTTGTGTAAATATTATAAAAAATAGAGAAAGGAAATTCATGCCCGTTAGTTTTATAAATATTTATTATAAATTAAAAAATAACAATACAACTAAAAACACCAAATTTTGGTTTAAACATTATAACAAAAATTAACTAACTACTCTAATAAAACATTTATAAATATTTTAACAAAAACAATAACTATAAAACTTAACAATGATTCTTTGGAACAACGTAACATTTTCCACTTGGCATACTTGCATGATAACATGGGTAAGCATTCGATAAATTTTTCAATGACCAAAAAGCTCTGCAATTCTTACTACCCACCTCATATGCTTGAATGTGATCGTCAAAATATAATGTCTTTAATAAATTTATGAGAAAGTATATATTATTGTTTTCGTTTATAAGAATCATTTCAATGGTACCAAATTCAGGTTTACTGTTCCTTGACTCGAGAAGTAACCTTGCATTATAAATGTACTTTATACCTTGGAATTCCAGCCATTTACAATAATACCATTCTTTTTGAAAATAGTGCTCTTCAAGGGGTCCAATAAAATGGCAAAATTCGTTCATATTGTGTATTTTGGCTGGCAAACTGTACAATGCTAATTCTTGAAAGCTTATGGAAGAATATAATCGAAAGCAAACTTTTAGCTGATGTTTAAGAGCCAACGATTTGGTAATGTTCTTTCTATTACAGGTTATGTTAGCAGTCATTTTCGATTCGCGGTGTTTTGCCTCAAACCGCATGCATGAAATTTGTTTCAAAGGCCCAACTTTCCTCATAATGCCTGGGTAATGACAAAGAAAATGAAACTTTGGCTTAAGGGTGGATTTTGATAAATTTACATACAACTGATTGTGTTCCATAATAAAATATTCCAATAAATTTATACTTGATGCATCAATAGAGTCATTGGAAACAATTTCAATTATACTTTTTAGATAAATAAATAAATTCCAATAGTCATTATTGTGTGGTACATATTCCCCCACCAGAAATGGAAAGATCCTAACAAAACACAACATTTCTGATGCTGACATTGACAGTTTGCCTTTCTTGTAAAAGTCTGGACTTATTTTAGGAGGCCTGTTACTTACATTCATGGCATCAAAGTCAAATGTTGTTATCCTGTAATTTAGATTTTTCAAAGTAAAAAACTTGTTTTCAATAAAATTTTTCAAAATCAAAATTAAATCATAATGGCAAATTCCCTCGTATAAATCATGCATTAAATCAACATACACATTTACAGTCAAATGAAAGGCCCTTAAGCAATGAAAAATGCATTCCTGTTTTAATCCGGTAATGGAAAAATTATTTTGTTCCAAATCAGAATTATAATTTTCTTCATTCCTTAAAGCTGTAGTATTTTCCTTAAAAGTGGTTTGTGTTTCAGTTTTAGATAATTTGCAGATTCTGCAAAAATAATTTGCAGAAAAACTTTCTGAAAAGCCCAATATTCCATTAACACCTAAATTATCTCCTAAAACAAAAGTTAGGGCAAAGTATATTCTGTCACTCCCTTTTACAGTTTCTACCAGTATTCCCTCAGATTCTAAGTAACGCAACTCTTCTACTAATATTTTAAATACTGACTCGTTACCAAATTGTTTCCTGGCATCGGAATGAAAAAGCAATGCTAAAAAAATGTTGCCTAACTTTGAGGCATGCTCGGGAGGTATGAATGGAAGAGCAATATAAACCGCACCTATTTTGTGTTGGCCCCCATGAGATCCTAATGGGTTCCCACTTTCGTAATCGTCGTAGTATAAACATAACGGTAACAATGTAATGTCATTTGGAAATTTATTTTTTATCGTAGCCCAAAGATTGCTCTGCATGACATTGCTTACAGTTCTTGTTTCACTATTAAGTTCTTTCATGTAAGTTTTAGCACAGTCATAGAAGTCCGAGTGCTCAAATAATTGTTTCAGTTGCTCGCGCAGTGGTATGAACTGGGCAGTATGACTAATAGATTTTTGAGGAATGACATACTCTTCAGCATTACTCACGTTTTTACCGATGTCATAAGTCAAAGGTTTTATAAATTTGTCAGCTTGTTCAAATTCTTTGAAACGCAAATATTCAGTATGTAGACCATTAAAAGGATTTTCTAAAATTTTTAAAACTTCATCAATTTTTGTCATGTGTTGTTTGTGGCCACAAAGTTGCTGTTTTATCAGGGGCACAAGACCACTTTTTAAGAATTCAGAAAAGTAATCAACTATCATCTGAATATAACAGCGGGGAATCGAAGAGCAATTATATAATTTAGCAAACAGTAGTATTGCTTGTTCTTTTACTAACTTCCTAAATGCATCAAGGCGATCCTCTTCCGTATTTGCAAATGACTGGGTATCTGATGAATCTACGTCATGACTTTGATCAATTTCTATTTTAGATCGTTTTAGATTCGGTGAAATGACTGTAGTTGAATTAACAGCAATTTCATGTTTTCTTTTAACGTGTGCTCGAAAAGAATGGGCATTGCTAAATGTTCTGAGGCAATCACTCTCTCTGCAATGGTATGTACTGAAATCATTATATTTATGATTTATTTTTAAATGAAGTATGAGAGCTCTTAAAGAATATAGACCACCACACTCAAAGCATTTCATTTTTGCAAAAATCAAGGTTATTATTAAGCTGGGATGATGACAATATGCTTCTATAGTAACAAAATTTAGTATGCCAAAGTGGAAAATGTAACAACGTATAATTTATGTTAAAGAAATTACAAATTTGATAAAATTAAACTAACTGTAGTATATTGCTTATCAAATTTGGTGTTCAACTTGAATACACCTTTTTGTATAAGCAACCATACCTGTTCTGATTCTACAGCATAAAGTGCGTTCAATACATGGATGGCTTTAAACGTTACTTCCACGGCCTTTAATGGTGTTTCCACTTCGAAAAGGACACTGTTGATTTTTACATAGCAGTGAGTAACACTGTCTAGGTCCTTTCCAACAATGATGGGAGTTGGTTGAAATGTCAATTTGAGATTTTGGTACTTAGATTCTCGCCTTTCAATTTCCCCATGTAAGTCTTGAATGTTCTGTAATGAAATAATGTTGCAAAAGTTAAGATTTTAATTATGATGCTTTTAATGTATCTTACATTGACATGGAGAATAAACGCCTGGTCAATTTCAGCTTTGGAGGGTTTCCATTTTCGAGCAACAGGCACAGGGCAAACTAAATAGGGTAAGATTTTTAAAATTCTGTTGTACTTACTTTCTGAAAAAAAATCCCTTATTAATCGTTTTTATTGCAAGATATATTGCATACACACCTTCTGGTAATGAGTTGCTGTCTATCTCCCCCAACAAACGTTGAACAAGTTTGTCCTTACTGTGTAGTTTTGCATACTCTACAATTTTCTTAAAGAAATCTTGCCAATTGCTGTACAAGAAATTGTTTTCAGGATAGATTGTATCATAATCTATATTTAGCTGTAAATGTGTAATAGTTTAAACAAAAAGTAGGTAGTAATATTCATTAAATAAATAAAATATTTGTTATTTAATATTATACTAAACATGTGGAGTGGAATTGATTTTGATTATAATAATTATAACATAAGTTTGAATTCTAAGTTATCTATACAAGTTCCTAAACTTAGTGGCATAAATTTAGGAAAAGATTGAGCTAGTCAAAATAAGACGAAAACCTAAATAAATATTTTTCCAAATTACTTAAGTTTCCAAGATACAGGGTGATAAAGTGTTACTTATCATATGAGTTTTTTTAATATAACTTAATAGACTTGGAAAGGTAATATTTTGCAAACAGTCACTCACTACCAATACACATATTCAAACATAATTAAAATTGTTTTAAATAAACACAGTGTCGTAGAAACGGGGGTTGCTCTAAGCTTATTGTCCCATACAAACTTTGCGGTTAGGTTTTTAAAACATTTGATGCAATTTTTCAAATATTCCGTTCCGCTAATATTAAAAAGGTGTCCCTCTCAAACTTCGATAATTTTAATTTATTCAATTAAAAAATAAAAATTGTTTTTGTGGGATATAACAATTAAATAATTGTAATATTGTAATCTCGAATTACTCGGAAACGGTTTAATTTATCGAAGTTTGAGAGGTACACCTTTTTAATAGTAGCCGAACAGAGTAATCAAAAAATTGCATGAAATGTTTTAAAAACCTAACCTCAAAGATTTTATGGGACAATAAGCTTAGAGCAACCCCAGTTTCTACGGCACTGTGTTCACTCAAACAATTGTAATTATATGTGATTGTGTGTATTGGGAGTGCACTCATGAGTGACTGTTTGCAAAATATTACCTTTCCAAGTCTACCATAGAAGAAGTTATATTAAAAAAACTCATATGATAAGTAACACTTTATCACAATTTATCTTGGAAAGTTAGGTAATTAGGAAAAATATTTATTTAGGTTTTCGTCTTATTTTAACTTGCTCAATATTTTCCTAAATTTATGCCACTAAGTTTAGGGACACCTTGTATTGATTCATCTGGTTGTCAAGAAATTAATTGATCTTACCAAAATGTAGCCATTTCCTTCACATAAAGCCAAAAATTTTTTGAAGTAGTTGCTTATCGAACAATCTTTTAGCATTACTTGTCTATTTTTCAATGTTTTCCTCCACAGGTCTTGCACTTTGTCAAACGGTTCCTTATTTCTTTTTAACCATTCCAAATATTCTATTTGATCTGCATCTAAAATAGTTATTTATGTATCAAGGCAGTAAAGTCGTATTTTTTATCACGAATGTGCGAATCGGCGAAAGCCGAGGCAAATAACCACGTGAGTGATAAAAAATACGACTTTAATGCCGAGGTGCATGTTAAATTTTATCCGAAATAACAACAATTTAACAAATTAATATATAATTACTTTTACAAACAGTAGATAAGACACCTCCTGTGTCTACGTATACTGTTTGTTGCGAAGGTTATGATATATTTGCCCGCTGCGGCGACTTTTTAATTGAATTAATAAAATAAACTTATTATTTTTATTAAACAACATTTTATGAAAGGGTCCAATCCACCTCCGCGACGGTACTTTTTTAAAAATATTATTTAGTTGCTGCTGAGGAGCAGTAGACATATCTTAAAATGTATAATGGGTTGCATACACGTATTAAATCGGCAGTAAAGTTCTACTTTACTGCCGATTTATTTACTTTACTGCCGATTGTTGACTACTTTACTGTCGATTTCGGATAAAAAATATTATAATACTGTTCTTACCATCTTCTGAATCAGACCCTTCTTCATTATCAGATTCAGGAAGTTTTCTCTTGCAAGGTATAGCACCAGCTAATTTCAATTGCTTTCTTAGGTTATAATATTTGCAAAACAATTTACCTCGTCCAACGAAACGAATACAATTATTATTTTTATTTACCCTAACTTTCATGTAATAAACCTCCTAAAAGTTTTTGCAGTGAAAATGTATGTGTCGACACATATATGATCATATTGATGACTTTCTGCCAAAATATCGCAAGCAACATAACATTTTTTGTTTTAAAGTCTTTTTGAAACTATATACATATAACCTATAGGTTTTATAACAAGTAAATAGCTATAATTATAAGCTATTTACTTGTTATAAAACCTTTAGACTATATTTAATTTAAAACAGACTTTGAAACAAAACATGTTTTCAATTCCCGAAATTTGGGATATGTTGCTTGCGATGCTTTGGTAAAAAGTCATCGATATATACAGTATGTCTCAGTATCTTGGAATCATATGGAAAACTTTTTTATTATTAATTTTAGGAAAAAAAGTTTTTCTTCATAAAAATTCTGCATGGTGTAAAACTTAAAATGCAACCCACAAATATTAATTTTTTTTAGTCGTATACGGGGTATGTCAAAAAATATGAATTTGGCTCAAGAGTAAAGTACCTTTATATTTGACAATATCGAAAATTGTTATAAAGAAAAGTTAATCAGAACTAAAAACTACGTTGAAATATGCAATTACATCCATTTACATTAAAAAAAATATTTTTTTTTTTTTGTCTACAATATCAATGCAAATTTAACTGTAACATGTAATTTAGGATTTACTGATAAACAAATGATTTGTTGATATTCTAATACTTTTTGGCCTGACATAACTTAAGGTTTTCATGTTTTTTCTAATAATAACAGATAAATGTTCATTTAAAATAAAAAGATTAGTAAAAATTAACAAAACCTAATTTTTTAATGTAAATGTATGAAATTGCATATTTAAACGTAGTTTTTAGTTCTGATTAACTTTTCTTTATAACAATTTTCGATATTGTCAAATATAAAGGTACTTTACTCTTGCGCCAAATTCATATTTTTTGACATACCTCGTATACGACTAAAAAAAATTAATATTTGTGGGTTGCATTTTAAGTTGTACACCATGCAGAACTTTTTATGAAGAATAACTTTTTTTCCTAAAATTAATAATAAAAAAGTTTTCCATATGATTCCAAGATACTGAGACATACTGTATATATATATATATATATATGGGTCATTTCACGTCAAATTTACCGTCAAAATTTAAATTTGTCTGAAATATTTTTTTTTTCGTTTACGACACCAAAAAAAGTGACACGTATTTTTTTGTTTTAAAATTTTATGAATTATGTTAAAGTTACGATTTTTTTTAAATTTCAGTACCAGAAAAAAAGAATTTTAAACATTAGTTTTTGAATAGAATAAGATTTAATAAACTTTAATTTTTTTTTGGCTTAATTTTAAGGTTATGCATTGTTTTAAATATTTAAATTTAAAAAAAATAATATTTTATTTTAATTAAATTTTTTTAAGCAAATTTTATAAATTAATAAAAAAAAATGAAAATCGACAATTTTTTTAAAAATTTTTAAAATGTGTATTAACTTGTCAAAGTTTGCAGAACATTGTATAAAAATTTCAGAATGGACCGTTTAATATCGTATGAAATATTAATAATTTTAGATATCCGCGTTCTTAAAATGAAAGCTGTTACAGAGACATATTTAGGATATCACAAAATATTGACGATTAACATTCAAAATTACGAACAGAAATTTGAAATTTTACCATTTTATATATTTTAATGCAATATTAATAAAAATTTACATTCGTTAAAATGGTTAAGCTAATAATTAAAACTTTATTTATTTTCTTTGGGGGCAGGAGTAAAACACAAGCCTATAAGACTTTTCTTAGTGAAAAAAAACTTTTTCTAGGACTAATAAAATATTTAACAATAAAAATCGTTGTAGAGTGGCTTTTACTAAAAGTATATATTTGCAATTCTCTGTCAATTTTATAAATTAATGGTACATTTATCTAATTTTTTTATAAGAAGTGGCAGACATTTATTATTATTAAGCAATATTAAACTTAAAATCCAGGGGACAATAAATCAGTTTTATTTTAGAATAAAATATTTTAAAAAATTTTAAAACTAGGTATTTTATAAAATTTGCTTTATAGGCTTGTGTTTTACTCCTGCCCCCAAAGAAAATAAATAAAGTTTTAATTATTAGCTTAACCATTTTAACGAATGTAAATTTTTATTAATATTGCATTAAAATATATAAAATGGTAAAATTTCAAATTTCTGTTCGTAATTTTGAATGTTAATCGTCAATATTTTGTGATATCCTAAATATGTCTCTGTAACAGCTTTCATTTTAAGAACGCGGATATCTAAAATTATTAATATTTCATACGATATTAAACGGTCCATTCTGAAATTTTTATACAATGTTCTGCAAACTTTGACAAGTTAATACACATTTTAAAATTTTTTTAAAAAATTGTCGATTTTCATTTTTTTTTATTAATTTATAAAATTTGCTTAAAAAAATTTAATTAAAATAAAATATTATTTTTTTTAAATTTAAATATTTAAAACAATGCATAACCTTAAAATTAAGCCAAAAAAAAATTAAAGTTTATTAAATCTTATTCTATTCAAAAACTAATGTTTAAAATTCTTTTTTTCTGGTACTGAAATTTAAAAAAAATCGTAACTTTAACATAATTCATAAAATGTTAAAACAAAAAAATACGTGTCACTTTTTTTGGTGTCGTAAACGAAAAAAAAAATATTTCAGACAAATTTAAATTTTGACGGTAAATTTGACGTGAAATGACCCATATATATAACTAGATAGTATGAAGTACCTTACATTCTCCAGGAAAAAATTGAGATATTGATTCTGCCAAAGATTCAAATCGTTCTGAGGAAATTTTTTTATTTAAATCACCTTCCAATTCATTTTCAATAACAAGTTCGGTAAGTTTGTTTCTTTGCTCTGCTGATAATCTTTTATGTTGTTGAAAAGCATGGAAAATAATTTTTCCTTGCACAGTTCTGTTTATCAAATTTTTTAGATCTCTATGTTGCACACAGTCTTTTTCCAGTACATTACTGTTTGCATCTTCTAAATGTTCACTGTTTGCAGTCAGTGTAACATCTTCAATCTCTATATTAGAAAATTCTCGTACATTCGACTGCACTAGTATTGGCTCAAATAACTGAAAACTTGAATCAACAGTTGTTAAAGTTGCTTCTAGATCTGAATTTGGAATGACAATGGAACTAGTATTATCATTATTTATGTGTGACACAGATCTTCCAAATTCAGACTGATTACAGGATCCACAAAATTTATTAAAATGCCTCAAAAACTTAAGACGTAATCCAACTTTGGGGATTAATTCTTCAATTAAATTTGGCGTCAACAGTTCAAATGATTCATTATCAATGCAGTTATCTGAAACAAAATAAATTGTGTAAGAACAAACAATTTTAACGATTTATTTGTAGCTAATGAGTAATATTACTGACACACATGCGCATTTGTATTTTTATTATTTAAACACGCTTTGAAAAAAGTAAGAATAAAGGAAAAAAATATTTAAAAATAAATTATTTTGTATTTTTTTTCACTATTTCGTTTAAAATTAATTTAAAATACTTTTAATCCTAAAATAATATTATGTTTTATTAATGTGCATGTGTGTCAGTAATATTACTGCGGTTGGAACGAACCTAATGATAACACTATTGTAGTCGAAAAAATATACAAAAATGTGAGAATTTTATTCCTACTAAAAAAACCTTTCTAAATCCAATGGTGCTCAACAAAATTTTTCATCACGTCGGGATTTCGAGAAAATCAATTTTTTTTTTTTGGAGTAAATTGCATCTTTTTCTGCTTATGAACATGGCGTGGATATTTTTGCTCTGTCGATCAATCATAACAGTATAGGTACAATATATATAATATATTATATATACAGTATCAGTCATAATTATGGCAACAACAGTAAAAAAAATCTAAATATAAAACGCCTTTATTAATCTTTATGAAATTTTTGATAAAAATACTTTAACTTATATCTAAGTTCAGGGTTTTTCGAAAAAAAAATATTTTTAGAGCCCTTTTATTTAATAATGAAAAAACGTTCAAAAAATAACTTATAGGGAATTTTTTTAAGTAAATAAAAAATATGCTGTTAAAGACCGTAGTTTTGTTAGTATACCCTGAAAATTTTGTACAAATCAAATGAACAGTAACAAAGATACAGCAATTCAAAGTCATAAAAAATGACCACTTTTCAGCAAAATAATCAAAAGGAGCCATTTTTACCGACTTTGAAGCGCTACAGCGCGCTGTATCTTCCTTACTGTTCGTTTGTTTTGTACAAAATTTTTAAGGTATAAGTACTAACAAAAATCTTTAACAGCACATTTTTTATTTACTTAAAAAAAATTTTCCTAAAAGTTATTTTATTATTAAATAAAAGGGCTTTAAAAATATTTTCCGAAAAACAAAATTTTTAAGGTATAACAATTTTTTAAGGTACCTAAAAGTTATTTTATTATTAAATAAAAGGGCTTTAAAAATATTTTCCGAAAAACAAAATTTTTAAGGTATAACAATTTTTTAAGGTAGGTATACTAACAAAAATCTTTAACAGCACATTTTTTATTTACTTAAAAAAAAATTCCTAAAAGTTATTTTATTATGAAGTAAAAGGGCTTTAAAAATATTTCCCGAAAAACCCTCTCTACTCATAAAGATTAATAAAGGCATTTTAGTTAAATTTTTTTACAATTGTTGCCATAATTATGACTGATAGTTAGAGACCGGATTCTAGGCAAAATGCCTATCGTCAATTTTGATGGGCCATTTTCAGTCGGAATGGCATTTTCACATTTTTGTATTTTTTTTCGGGCCCCAAAACTACAATAGTGTAATTAAAGTGCAATAACAATACCTAACCTTTAAAAACTGGAACCAATTCAGGTAAACCCCATGTTTCTAATAAATCTGCTACAAGCGTCCGCTCATCCATATTATTTTTAGAGATATCTATAAGTAACCAACACATAAGAATATATTCTTATACAGGGTGTTTCATAATATATGCGCAGGACTTCAGGAGGTGATAGCTCATCCAAAAAGATGAAAAAAGTCGCTATTAAGTTACGCTCTAAAATGCACAATTTTCGAGAAACAGGGTGTTGAAATTTTAGAAAAAAATTCATTTTTTTCGAATATCTCCGGAACCATTTATCGTACAAAAAACAGCTTTTGTAAGCATTTTCTACTCAAAATAAGCTATGTTTTGCGCTAGAAAAATTTTTTTTTCCTCATAATTGATGGAGATTTTGAAGGGGTAGCGGGTGTTTTTCTCCTCAACTTCTACGCCCCTGAAAAAAGTACGGTTTTGAGAGGCCCATTTGAACCGCCAATGTTTTCTACAGAAAAAAGGTACTCCTGGTCATAAGCTCTAAAGTTGACCGTTTTCGAGAAAAATCAACTTTTATGTTTAAAAACATGGTCAATTTAAAAAAAAATATTTTTTTTTACTAATTAAACAAAATTTATTTTAACGTTAGGACAAGTAACAAAACCAAACCATAATTGCAAAATAAAAAATGATTTAAAAGTTGTCTTTGCTTAATTCTCCAAACCGTAAAGGTAACGCATTTCGCACATTTCAGCATTTGAGTAAAAAATAATTTTTTATTATTTTTTTTAATTTTGCAATTATCGTTTGGTTTTGTTACTTTTTCTAACGTTAAAATAAATTTTGTTTAATTAGTAATAAAAAAATTTTTTCAAAAAATTGACCATGTTTTTAAACATAAAAGTTGATTTTTCTCGAAAACGGTCAACTTTAGAGCTTATGACCAAGAGTACCTTTTTTCTGTAGAAAACATTGGCAGTTCGAATGGGCCTCTCAAAACCGTACTTTTTTCAGGGGCGTTGAAGTTGAGGAGAAAAACACCCGCTACCCCTTCAAAATCTCCACCAATTATGAGTAAAAAAAATTTTTTTTCTGGCACAAAACATAGCTTATTATGAGTAGAAAATGCTTACAAAAGCTGTTTTTTGTACGATAAACGGTTCCAGAGATAATCTAAAAAAACGATTTTTTTTCTAAAATTTCAACACCCTGTATCTCGAAAATTGTGCATTTTAGAGGGTAAGTTAATAGCGACTTTTTTCATCTTTTTGGATGAGCTATCACATCCTGAAGCCCTGCGCATATATTATGAAACACCCTGTATATGTTACGGCTAATGTACAAACTTGGATAGTTTATAAACTAGCTGGATAGTTTATAAACTAGCCAAACTGTCAGCTATTTTAATTGAAAACATATTTTCAACTAAATTAGCGGCTAGTTTACAAAATAACCAAGGATCTTGGCTAATTTACTTAAAATTATTAGGGAAACTAAAATAGCTGGATACAAACTATACTAACCAATTCAGTTTGGCTAATATGAAAACCAAAATTTCTAGTAACACAAAATAGCCAAGCTTTAGCTAGTTTGTAAACTAACCAACCAATTGGCTAATTTCGTATAACGTCACAATTTTGACTTTTGCGGGATTTTATAAAAATTAATTTTTTTTTTTACAATTTTTTTGCATATTTTCGCAATTTTTGCCAATTTTTGTTGGGTTTCCTCATATTTTAGTTGGGTTTTCCTCTCATTTTTGCCCATTTTAGTTGGGTTTTTTGCTGTTGGTCGGTAGGGTTGTGTTGTTGAGTTTTGTAACAAGGAAGCGTTAAAATTTTGCCTATGTTTCATTTTAAAAACGTTAAAATGCACAAAACAAATCCGGTTAAGCCGGCAAAACGAAAAACAATGCCGTAACCTCACTTTTTTTAATAAATTAGCCAGAGAATTAGTTGGTTAGTTTACAAACCAGCTAAAGCTTGGGTATTTTGTGTTACTAGAAATTTTGGTTTTCATATTAGCCAAATTGAATTGGATAGTATACAAACTATCCAGCTATTTTAGTTTCCCTAATAATTTCAAGTAAATTAGCCAAGATCCTTGGTTATTTTGTAAACTAGCCGCTAATTTAGTTGAAAATACATTTTCAATTAAAATAGCTAACAGTTTGGCTAGTTTATAAACTATCCAGCTAGTTTATAAACTATCCAAGTTTGCACATTAGCCGTAACATATACCTATATGAATAGTTAAAAAGTATGTCGCCACTGAATTTACAGGGGCAAATGACTAATTGTAATAATAAACTAGTTTCTTACCTAAAATATACAGTACACACAGCACAAATTCAAAAGAACAAACACCACCGAAGTCTGGACGCCGTGCAACACCGTTTGTTTACAGGTTAAAAGTAAAGCACGCGCCGGCTTGGACAAATCGCGCGCGAAATGCACAAAATTTGCAGTTGCATTAACATACAGAGACAACATCCCCAACTGACACTTTGTTTCACACCGCTGGTGTCTTAGCTGTGTGAAATGTGACGCATAGTTTATACAACCGAACTGTTGGTTCCACGAACTAATTTCGGTCAGTTGAGAATGTTAATTAAATATTTCGTCCAACAAAAACATTTTACCGCCGAAATGATTTTTTTGAGATAATGTTGTCAATACTTCTAGCCAACACAAAGTTTCAGTTAAAATAACTTAATCGCCTTTTTGCAGTAAATGATACTCAACAACAAAACTAAATCTTTTCAGGTAATGATGCAAGCAGTTACACATATAAAGGTACTGATTACAAAAAACAAAAAATTCTAGTTTCTGCAACAGTTTTACCCCAACGATAATAAGTTAGTTACAAATACCAGGTCTTTTCTAAGAGTGTGTATGTTTACATATAAAACTTGCTTTTTTTCAAAATTCACGTGTGCTGCAGCAATAACGAAGTTATAACGATTTTTCGTTTTGACATGTTTTTAGTTTTCAAAATTTAATTTTAATAGGCTTGTAATTGTCTCTGATACACCCTGTATATAGGTAATCATTCATTTATTTTGCTAATAAAATAGTTTTAAGTGTTTTTTATTTTTACTTTTAGTTTTAAATTAGGTATTATTAGGTCATTATTTATAGATTTTTTATTTTATTGATATATTTTGATAAACAGTTTTTATTTTTGCATATTTTATAAAAAAATAAAGTCTATCTTTATTCCACACTTTCATATACATATACATGCTTAGTGCATGATGTACAGGGTGATCCCCTATAATGTCGCCCCCCTTTAACTTTTTTATTTTAAGTGTCCGAAAAAATTTCAAAGTGTGGTTATGTAGGTACTAAAAAATACTTTTTTTCTACGTATAAAGAAAATTGGAAAATCAATCAGTATACAGGGGTAAACAAAAAGTTTATTTTGTTTCAATGGATCACCCTATATATTTATTTATTTTTCAATTCCTTGTAAAATTCTAAGCATATTTCATATAACATATCATATACAGGGTGATCCCCTATAATGTCGCCCCCCTTTAATTTTTTTATTTTAAGTGTCCCAAAAAATTTAAAAGTGTGGTTATGTAGGTACTAAAAAATTCTTTTTTTCTACGTAATAAAAATAATGAAAAATTGATCAACATACAGGGAAAAACAAAAAGTTTATTTTTTTTTCAATTGATCACCCTATATATGAATTTATTTTTCGATTCCTTGTAAAATTCTGAGCATAATTCATATAACAAACATAATGTACTTTAATTTTTGAACTTAATTCAAATACCAACTGTATTTAAGATTTTTTTCGAATTTCTCTAAACTATTAAATGATGCTTTAACAACCGCAACCATTGGCGTAGATATATTTTTTTTTAATCACAAAATGTTTAAAAACTTTTTTGCACATTAATATTTCACAAAAAAGGACAACAGAAAAGGATTTATCTATTAAAAAAACTATCTATATAAAAAAAGCAGGCCCCCTAAATAAATTGAGTACCTAAGTAATGTATGTTTAGTTAAGGTATTCGCTTAAGCAATAATACTACTATCATGATGCAGTTGCTTACATTAAATTGCCAACAAGGAGTAAATAAAGAAATCTAGTTAGCCATCACCTTTGCCAGGTAACACTTTTGTCTACGTATTTTGGAACGGATTAGTAGGCCTAAGAACTACCAAGGACCTTGGTCCAAGGTGACATATTTAAGGGAAATGCATGTTAAATGCTTCTGAAACATCCTGAAACTCTTCTAACAAAAGATTTTTTGCAAACTGTTAGTCCTTTGGTTATTTTACCATACGTGTCCCAATTTAAGACTATGGATAAATTAGTTGGGAATTTTTCCACAAAAATGCCAAATTTCGACTAAATAAAAATTCACAAACATTAGTAGTTATGTTTAAAGCTTTTGATATATCTAAAACTTTAATAATTCATGTACTAATTAATCACTTGGAAGAATGACCACCGCAAGTTTATAAAATTTTTAGAATAAATACAAGGTAAACAACATGGCACATCATAACTTCAAAGAGTCGTTAAAAAGAGCAGTTGTAGATTTTTCATCTAAAAATATTGAATGTTTTTTCTCATGTTGATAACATTACCTTGATTAATAAATAATATTTGAAAAGTTCTTACTTGTCTTTTTTCTTTTATATAGGTTATATTTATTTAAAGAAAAATGATGCTGCAATGATGAAAGTATCCTATGTCAGGTTATTCACAAACAATCGTAACATACCCAGTTAAACATAAAAAATTCCCGACTAAGTCCATGGATTTCGTAAGCCAATAGTTTAGGCATCATTAATTTAAGCATGATTTAATAGATAATTAAGTCACCTTTATTTCCCTATTCAAACTTTTTGTCCATGCAAAGGCCTCCGTTTTAAAGATAGTAGTAAAAACCTAAAATGAATCACCAAATAACCTTTTATATTTGGATTATTAGGCAAAACTTAAAAAAGGAACAGCTACCATTTTGAAAAACGTATTTTTTAATCTTCAGACGACATCCTTAAGCCTCATTCAGAACCTCGTAATTAGTGGTTTCAATTATACTTATAATTAACTAAAAACGATCATTCACAATGCGCAAAATTAACGTCTAAAATTAAGGGAATTTGCTAAAAGATTGTCCATTCTTCTTAAAATAATATTTATATAACCTTTCCTTCACTGGCAAATCTTCAAACTTTTTGCTTTTGACATTCGCACATGCGCAAAGCCGCTTTCCAATTATAATTAGTGGTAAAAGTTAGAAGTTTGCAAACTTTTTCCACTAATTAAAAAGTACTACCACTAATTTTTTGGTTGTGAACAACATTGTGTATATTCATAAGACAAACTTTTACGTTAATTGAAACCACTAATTTATTCCATTAATTACGAGGTTCTGAATGAGGCAATACTGCAGTCAGTTTTTAGCGTCATTTTTATGTGACCCATGACTCGTTCAGGACCACTGTGTGTAAACTGCTTCTATATGTATTGTTAGTCTATTTTCAAGAGATAAAAGAGTGATTTACACAGAAAAATTTGAGATTTTAACGCCGGTAGATTTCCAACGGAAATTCCAATAAATACAACTCTCACTTTTTGGACCTTTAACATTTCCCGTGTAAGAATTTTTAATACTTTGTGATAATATTTTGCAATTAAAGTAATAAAAAAAATGAAAAGATAAAATATTTTCTTAACATAATCACATTTTGAAGTTATTTTTATATTTTGAAGTATTAATAATTGTTTAATTAAAATAATACCGGGCAATGTTAGTGGTGAAAATTACGTTAAAAATGTTTTTCTACTCCCACCTTTAAAACGCCCTTTATCGTACATGTTTCCATGAAACTAAGTGACCTTTTAAATACACATTGACAAGTTGTAGCTTTATGGCGCTTTAGTCACGGGCTGAAATTAGCAACAGGTTTTTAGTCACGGGCTGAAGTTTGTTTTAAGTTAGTTGACAGTTGTCAAATGTCATACAATCGTTAAAATAAAGTGCCTTTCTTGAAAAATAATACTAAATTTGAAAATTATTTTATTATCTAAATACAAAAATACAAATGTATTAAATAGTTTCTTGACGCCAATATTTGAAAAGATTATATGAACGTTTGTACTGACCTTTTGATTTCGCCGTAGTAGTGCAGTTAACTAGATTTAACTGATAGTGTTAAAAATTTTGCGTACAGTGCCCATAAAACATTCTCTTCTCTTTTACTGTAAAAACCTGCTTCTATAAGTTAAAAATTCCAACGGAAATTACAATAAATACAACTCTCACTTTTTGTACCTTTAACATTTCCCGTGTAAGAATTTTTAAAACTTTGTGATAAACATTATTATTATTATTATTATATTTTGAAGTATCAATAATTGTTAAGTTTAATTAAAATAATAACGGGCAATATTAGTGGTGAAAATTACGTTAAAAATGTTTATTGGGATGGTTATTTTATTTTTCTATAGATGTCGCTTTATACAAATATTTAATTTAAATCATTTTTTAGATAATGTTAAGTATTTATTGCACTCATTTAATTAAATGGCGTTTATTAAACTTTATACATAATTATTATTGTATATACTTAAATATTACATTTTTTAACTTTAAATCATAAATGTGGGCCGTAAAATTAAACTAATATTTGTTTAAGCAATGAAACGATGAAAAACGGGTTTTAAGGGTTGAACTGCAATCATCGCGAACTGGCGTAGGGACGAGGGCAAATAAATTACACACGGGGTTTTCGAAATGCGGTGGGTTGTTTAGCGACCGCTTGCGTCCCCTAAAATAAGCGTGCTCATGCAACGATTTAATGTGTTTTACTTTATTTCACGGCCGTTAGAATTCACCTACTCTTCCGAATCGACTAAATCTAAAAATCTACCCGTGCTTTAATTGCGCGTTTTCATTTCGCCAATTTTACTTTGATTATTTTTAATTGTGAATTTTATACAATTATACAGAATATAGTATAGGTAACTATAGTTTTTCAGTATTTAAGGTTTAAATTGCACAAGAATGTTTTATATTATGGAAAGGTTATTTCAATCACTGAGAAAAATATATTTGTTAAATCAATATGTAAATCAGTATGTAAATTTATATTTATATAGGTACGTTTTACACAAATAGAAAATATTCTTAACGTGTAAAGTTCATTTTTTATGTGGACGTTGACGTCAAAAATTGGGGGGTTTTAGTTGGAAAATGTAAATGTAACTAAATCCATAATGAGGTTGAGACATGTAGAAATCAGTGTGAAACTACTTCTTTTTTTGAGATTAGTCACTAAAAACAATAATTCCGTAAAAAAAATATTTTTTTTAAATCGAAAAATTAATTCGGTAGTTTGACGTCACGATGTTATAATGTAAATGGTACCTATATTGGTAGCTATAATAGGCGTGTCAAGTTTTACGAATGAAGTAAAAGCAACTCTATAGAGTGTACTTTTCCTTGAATTTCAAAGGATTAAAAATTGACTACAGTTATTAGTGGATGCTTTTTCACTATTACCATGGGATAATAGACCAGTGCAGAAGCCTTTAAAAATGGTAAAAAGAGAAAAAAAATAACAGTAGGATGAAACCCATTGGAAAAGGAGGGGAATATAATAAAAATTAAAGGAAAATAAATTACGGACGATCTGAGTTCGGGAAGTGGGAGGGGGGGGGTTAAGGGTAAAAAATGGTTTATCTCGATTTCCGGCAAAACTACAAGTCCTATGGAAAAAAGTTAAAAGTCAAAGTTGTAGGTAATAAAAAGATCTACAACTTTTGTATTTACAATTTTTTCACATAACCTCAAAATTTATGTGAAAAATTCAAAAAACCAAGTTTTTGGTTTTTTATTTTTATTTTTTTCAAAAAAAAATTTTTCCACGAAATTTGGTGAAAACTTACCTTTTTATGTCCCAATTACACTGTAATTTATTTGATTTGAAATATTTATTATTTCGCCTTATTTTGACTTAATATCAAAAAAGCACCCTAATTTTCAATCGAAAATTCTCGCGTCAAAATATCAGCTTTTTTCAAAAAGTCGGTGTGCTTTTTGTTCGATAAACTCTCTACTTTCTGATGGTGTAAAAAATATATACATTACTATGGTAAATGTTCTCAGAAAATACAAAAAATATTATAATGAATAACGTAATCAGAATGAAGTATCTAAATTCAATAGTATGATTTACATGTATTTTTATATTTTATGAGATTTTCTGACATAAATGTTATTAGAATTTAATAAATAAACTTTTTAACTAAAAAAAATTGCAACAATCACATTTTTTTAATGAAATTGTATATAATGATTAAAATAAATTTTCGAATTCGAGTTTTTTTCGTTATTCATTATAATATTTTTTGCATATTTATTATATTCTTCTCCTTCTCCAATGGGTTTCATCCTACTGTTATTTTTTTTGGTTTCAAAAATTATCGACCCTGGTCTATAACATGATATCCCCAACATTTAACATCCAATTGTGTAAAATTGTCCCCTGAATCCGAAAAAACCGTCAAAAATAAGTAGAGCAGATTTCGAGATATAGTCAATTCCATATTACATGAAAAATTGACTATATCTCAAAAACTGTTCTACTTTTCCAACTTTTGACATTTTCGGATTGAGGGGACAATTTTGCATATAAATTAATTGCTAAATGTTCGGGATACAAATTGCTATTGACGAGAATTATTAGTAGCTTTTTTGCTATGACAATTATTCATTTTTGACTAATTCATTTTTACGGAGTGCCAGAAGTAATTAAATGCTATTTAGGAACAACATTGTAAATGGCATGGCAAAATTCTACGTTTTCGTATTATAAAAGTAAAAAGTTGCAGCATTTTAAGCGCTTTTGTGTAATGTCACTTTTATTTAGAAGCAAATACGAAAAATAGTTTTTCTTCCTACCCTTTACCATATATGGTAAAGTTGAATTTTACCATCCCCATGGGGGCAAGAAAGCAAGTGTTTCTACGGCTGCCTTGCAAAAATAATTACAAATGCCTAGGCGGTAAATAACTTTTTACTTTTTTCAATAGAGAGTGCTGCAATAATATGTTAAATTAAATTTAAAAAAATGAGATTTTTACGATTGAAATTATTTGGTTCAAACAAAAACTTTATTCATTCTATAAAACAATTGGCCTGATAAAATTAATTTTAAAAAATTATAAATTAAATTATTAATATTAATTATAAATTTCTGCAGAAAATTATTCATAACTTAAGACTAGAAACATAAGTACAAACTTCCTATGTTTGACGCGTAGTTTTATAAGACAAAATTCGTCGGCACAGAACAATCAAAACTGCAGTGCGCACTACTACGCGCACAAACCTAATCTAATTAGGGCCAATCATGTGTTTTAAATTAAATCCTCCATGGCGCACTGAGAAACTTCATTATTGTAGACGCTTTTTGCCTCACTCCCCATATCGGTTTAATCTCCTGTCTCTAGTCTTTGTAGTAGATAATAAATAATATATTTTAAATGTCAAAATTTACCGCCTAGGTCTACAATATACTATTTCTCAATTGCCCACACAATTCATTTCTGGCACTTTTTCGTTATTAAAAGGTAAACTAGAACTATTATCAAGTCACGTTATACAAATTTTTGAGGAAGAAACATTTGTTTATTAATAATTATTGTTAATATTATATGCTATTGAACATTTCTGCACCAATTGATTAAAAAATCATTATCTATATAAAAAAAATAATCAAAATTTCAGAAATGAATGCAATACGCTAGTAGCGCCACCACTCGGTTGTTATCATCTTTACAAAAGTACTTTTGAACTTTTAATAATAGCTGTCAAACACTTATGTTACAAACGAGTGTTTTTGAGAATAAAGCCAGAAAATGGTAAAAAATATCGAAAAAAAACCGTGGCTCGATTTGTTGTGTTGTTGGGTGTATTTCGAGAGGAAATCCTGGGTTGAGTTTTTACCGGTTTTCCAATAAATAATGTTAATCTGAAAGAAGAAATAAATTGCATACAGTCTCTGTAAATATAAATTGTACCTATTAGATACAATAAATACACATTTTAGTAGTGATTAACGTGAAAAGTGTAAACATTTCAATTCAGTAAAAATCGTCAATCAAATAAGTCGTCTAAATTTAAACAGCATTTAGCATTATTAAAAGCGTTGATTAAGAAAGTCTCCACTCAACGGTAAAATATTATGTATTATATATAATATTATGTTGCCATGAATTCGTAGGTATATTTTGTTGTTTAAAATGCAGATGTCGGCGTTTTTTAGAGAACTCAAATATAAAAATGGTTGATTTTAAGGTTATGTTTGTGCAAAAAATTTTTTTACTAATTTCTTAAAAATGTCAAAACTTAAATATAAATTATATTAGGTAAAGTTATCATTAGTTAACTCTGTACCAACAAATGTACTTACTGAATTGGATCTTTTGGCAAAACATAGTTATTGAATTTTATTTACAATTAAAATTAAATAATTCACCATGATCTCTTAGATAAAATACAGACACTAACGTAACTATATAAGCATTTAAGCGTTGAGTTTCTTAGTCAATGATATAAGGAATAATCAATCAAAATCGAGTACTAAAAAAGTTTTTTAATTTTTTCCTTGCAACGTAAAACACAAATAACGTGCGCGATTTAACTGTGCAATTGAACAAAATTTGTCGAGTAAGACTTCTGCCTTCCTCTCTTTTGTAAAAATCTACCTATTTTTTTAAAAATGATGTATAATCTGTGTTTTAAATGTATTGTTGAAAATTCTTAAATTTACGCAATGCTATTGAAGTCCACCAGATGGCGCGCACGTTGCGAAAACCCGATACTTCTTTAGCGTATAGCAATAACCTTCTCATTATCATTCTATTCGTGGCCGAAATTCTACTTAAAGATAAAATTGGAAAAAAGCTAGGTTATTATTGGCCTAAGGAGGAGATTCACATTTAAGTTATAACCATTTATTTAGTTAGTGTTTTCTTTTGTAATATTTGTAGTTGTTATAATTGGATCGAACTAACCATTAATTATTTGTTTGCAGGATATAATGCAGCAACATGGGCTGAACTTGATCAAATGGTTTGAACGGACAGTACTAGATTAAATAAAGGTGAGCACTCAAAGAATCAATAATCTTAAAAAACTAAGCACATTTGTTCAAATTTCGACTTCAAAGCCATCTACGATTAGCACACGTCAAAAATTTTAATTGCAAATCTATGAAGTTCGTTAAAATATCAACAATATTAAAACTATTGTTTGACAGATTATAAAAGTCTAATGTCTGAATATTACGCGATATCTGCCACATTTTGCGGCTTTAATTTCCCGCTCCAGTCGTTTGCAAAAGTTTTCTTGCACAGGGAGGGTGAAACATCCCATACTTTGTGCAATTTTAAAGCTCCTGCTCATACAATCGTTTGGTTAAAGAAGAAAAAATATATAGAAATAATAAACTGACGCGAAATCATTTTGAATTCCGCCCGATTTTGAGTTTTCCGATTTGTTTCAGTATTGCGGGGTGGAAATGGATAAAGAAAATGGAAAGAACAGCGAAAGTAATTCTGGTTCCAATAAGGTGTCAAACTCACAAGATCCCGCATCATTGCTCGATGCTGCCAGTCTCTTTGGGGGTAAGATTAAAAAACTTGAATTATTTTCTCTAAAACTCACACAAAATTAAATAAAAACAGCATATATGTTTTTTAAATTCATTATTTTTATTGAAAAAAAGACAATAAAGATTTTTCTTGGAGATATTTTTAATTAAAACAATTTTTTTTCATAAGAAATAATTAAAAAAATTAAGCACAATTTTTATTAATAAAACTTTAGATGATGAAACTTTTTAAGTGGCAGATTCATTTAAAATGTATTTTGTGTCTGTAGAAGTAATATTATAAAAGAAAGAAAGGTTTTTGGGTTTATATAGGTATCCAAATAAATGTCAAATTAATCACGAAAATGTTTAAACCAAGTTTCCCTTTTTAATAAAAAAGTTTTTATTCATTTTTACGTAATTGTCATTTAAATAATATTTTGTAGTTTAAAGCCTTAACACTAGAAGCGCCATAGGGGTCATTTTAACACTTATCGGATTAAACTTGTAATTATTATCTTTTGACCTAATTTAACTTTGGAGCTGAGAATTTTTGACTTTTCACTGATATAGACTATAGTCTATACAAGCACATTTTATAAATCTCTTTTTCTACGCTTATTACGGAATTTGACAGTTCTTATATGACTTTTTAATCTGGAATTACGTATATTCCATAAAGTGTTACAGAATAATTATTCCGCACATGTTCTAATGATGGAATGAGCACTGGGGGCGACATCTCTATGTTTATTTTATAACTCACTTGTATTCCTACCAAATCTAGTTTTTTCAGAAAGGCCCGGTAGAAAATATTAATCGGTAGTATACAATAGGATTTAAAACAGTTTGCGTTAATAAAAATACCCAATATATATCTTCTTTTCAAGCTAGTTGTAATTCTGTTTGGCCGATTTAGTAGGATTCTATTAGAATATTTAGGTTTGACTTGCAAGTCCCAAAGAGATGTCAGCACTGGTTAATTGTTTACGTCTGTCATTAGTTAATTTGAAATTCAAATAATAACTTATTTGTCATTCCTTACAATTTGTCCATTTCTTCTTTATACTTCCTAATTTAGGTTCTGCAAAATTATGTAAGTAATTTTTATAAGCTTATTTAAAAATTATCTTATTTACTACCATCATAAAATCTAACATCTGTCAAAAGATAACCTAACTTTTTTCCAATTAAATTATTTCTCTGGTATTTTTTATAAGCGTAGAAAAAGTATAGTCTGAAACACGTTTGGAATTGCATATTCCGCTCTCGTGAAACCGTCACACTCGCCTTCGGCTCGTGTGACAAACTTTTCACTCGAGCGGAATATGCTGTATTCCAAACTTGTTACAGAATATACTATTTTGTAATTAGTTTCTATTTTTTTATGACTTCAACCTATTAGCGCCACAAGGGGTCATTTAGACCTTTCTATAAATTAGTGTACTAAAGACATAATTAAAATCGTTACCTAATTGTTTAAATTTCACTAAATAGTATGGTCTAAACTTGATAATTTACTTTTTGTTTAATAAATTATGAATTCCAGCCTTATTTTCTTTCTCTAGTCAGCAATTTATATCCCTAAAAACGTAGGGCCCCCATAGAAAAAAATGACGGCGCTTCTAGTGTTAAATAGTGACTAATATATAATGTGTTTTTTCTACTCCCAACTTTAAAACGCCCATTATCTTACATGTTTTCATGACACAAACAGAACCTTTTTAATACACATTGACAAGTTGTGGCTTTATGGCGCTTAAGTCACTGGCTGAAGTTAGTTGACAGTTGCCAAATGTCAAAAAATCTTTAAAATAATACTAAATGTGAAAATTATTTTATTATCTCAATACAAAAATACAAAAGTATTAAATAGTTTCTTCGCCAATATTTGAAAAGATTATATGAACGTTTGTACTTCTCTTTTACTGTGAAAAACTGCTTCTAAATCGATTGTTAGTCTATTTTCAAGGGATAAATTTTGATTTACACAAAAATTTAAGATTCGAACGCCGGTAGATTCCCAAGTTAGAAATTCTTACGGGAATTCCAATGAATACAGTTTTTGTACCTTTAACATTTCCCGTGTGAGAATTTGTAATAGTTTGTGATAATATTTTGCAATTATATTAATAAAAAAATCAAAGAATAAAATATGTTCTTAACATAATCATATTTTGAAGTTATTTTAATATTTTGAAGTATAAATAATTCTTAAGTTTCATTAAAATAATAACGGGCAATGTTAATGATGAAAATTACGTCAAAAATGTTTATCACATGGTTACTTTATTTTCGTATAGATGCCGCTTTAAACAAATGTTTAATTTAAATCATTTTTTAGATAATATTAAGTATTCGTCGTAGAAAAAGCTTAGTATGCAACTCGTTTATAAACTTTTCTAGGCACTCATTTAATTAAGCACTCGCTCGTGCCTAAATTAAATTCGTGACTAAAAGGGCGTTTAAAAAACTTGATACATAATATACTATTAAATATAAACATACGTAAACATGTTTGAAAACGCGAGATACAGGGTTTGAAATTTGTAGAGAAATCAAAATTGCAAATTAACCATAGACAATAAAAATGACGTGTCGCATATTCTGGGGGTTTAAAATCAAGCAAAAACTTTTATCAAGAATGAAATTTTCTGAGAAATGTAAAATATTTCGTTTCCTCTTTGTTACCCCTATGGTGGACATACTGTATGTTCTGGCAAAGAAAGTTCTATCTATTTCATTGTAAGCCAAAATATAATTCCTGTATCTGATAAAGAAAGGAAAGGAAATTATCCTTTCTGATTATAAATTTGTATGCATAAATGAACCACCATGTATGTAATAAGTAGAGTTGGGGATGGTCAATTGACCGCGGTCAATTGACTGTCAATTGACCGGTCAAAATATATTTAATTTTTGCAGCATTTTATTTAGGTATCAACAATTACCCGTGAATCTCAAAATTTTTGCGATCGTGCAATATCGACATCATTTACAATTTGGTGGTTCCCCAAGACGAGGGGTTGCTAGGTCGGACTCGGCGCTTTGCCCTTAAAGCGGGTCATATCTTTTTTAATAGCGAAACATAACTTTTTAAAGCCGCACAAACGTTTCTAAAGAATTTGGTAACGTATTTTAATTACCTATTTATTAAGCACAAATAAATCACAGTAATATTTATTTTGATATTTTATTTTGGTTAATTGACCGGTCAATTGACTGGTCAATTGACCAAAAACAATTTGACCGGTCAATTTCACAACCCTAGTAATAAGCACTAAAAATTTATAAGTTTAAAAATTAATATTTTGTTTTTTTTTGTTTTAGCCTACTGGCCTAGAGATGCGAACTCGGCGAACGCTGCCGCAGCGGCGGCGAGTCTGTTTGCCGCCGGCGGTGGCGGCTCCGGGTTCGGCATGGTGCCGCACCCCTCCCTCCCTTTCGGCATGCTGCCGTCGGCGGCATCTTCCGGGGGCGGTCGAGGAGGCGGCGGAGGGTACCCGGCGTCGACGAGCGCCGCCGCTGCCGCCTACAACAACGCCTACACCAACACGCTGTCGGTGGCGGCCAGCCAGGCCGCCAGTCTAGGAATACCAGCAGCCAGTGAGTTGATACTTCTCAAATTAAGTTCATTTAGATTTTTTGTTAAAAGTTTTATTGGTGCTTGTACCTTTACAGCTAGAATCATGTTTAAGCATGCTTTTTCTATATTTTAATATTTGAAATATTTATGAATGATACTTATAGGTAGTACTTATTAAATAGGTACATCATGTTTTTCCAACATTTGTGGCAAAATAAAAGAGGGGAATCTCCAATTTTAAGACAAAAATATTCTGGGTATAGTTTTGACCTGGTTCTTGTCAAACTAAGTTCATTTGGATACCTACTTTTTTATTGGTGCTTGTATCTTCATAGCTTGAAACAGATTATGATTTAGCATGCTTTTTCCATATTTTAATATTTTGAATATTTATAAAAAATGTTCCTGATATTGTACTTATTAAAAACATAATGTTTTTCCATCATTTGTGGCAAAATAAAAAAAAGGGGAATCCCCAATTTCAAGACAAAAATATTGTAGTTATATTTTTGTCTTAAAATTTAGCAAGGGTACTGTACAATGTACAGTGTACATTTTATCTATAATTATTGAGGTGTTTCATCATAATTTTTTATCCGACTGCATTATACTTTAATACAGGGTGTCACCAAATAAGTTGTCATCCTTTAAGGGGATTATTTTTGCATTAAGTAGTGCCATTTTTTAAAAATAAAAAAATAAATAAAAATAAGTAAAGTAGAAATTTTGGGCTGCCACTGGTTGCTCCTGACCTACGCAAAATGACGCAAAATGTGCTTGACAGTAGGCAATAATCTACAATGTAGATTGTAGATGTAGATTCTACATTCATTAAAAATTGTGTTTTGTTTTGCATATACTCAGCTAATTTTAGGTAATAAAACAATACTTACTTTTTATTGTTAGGTATCTCGAGGTTTCCGAGGTTGTCCCGTCGATTTTACATTTCAGCTTTCACTTTTTACGTCAATTGATGCTCATGTAACTATTTTTTTTAAGTGTTCCACAAAATCATAACAACGTATCTGTCAGTATTCAATGATAACAAAGTACCTACTAACGGATTTTGAATAAGCTTGATATAACATTTTTAATGAATATCGCCCACCTGTTTCTTTTTTGCTTGGATGAATAATATCATTGTTTTTAGAAGTAAAAACAATGATGATATATAGGATAGGTCAGTGACATCCAGTGGCTACCTGGTTCTGTCAAAAAAATGTCATAATTTTGTTATCAAAAAACAGTAGCTCTAATGCAAAAAATTATGGAGGAAAAACTTTCTTTTTTTGGCGTGTACCTACTATCATCCTTCCAAAAAATGGCAATTAGGTGACACCCTGTATACTTACTGCAGTACAATTATTACCTATTATAGGTAAACTCATTTTTTATTTATACCGCTTTTGGTAATTTTTGAGACCTTAGACGGCTGTACTTAAAATATATAATCTTACCTACCATTCTTTTACTTTTTCCCAGAAACTGTAGGTATAGTAAAATAACGATAAACATTTCTGTAGGAATTTTGTAATATTTCGTCATTCATAATTTTATATATTTTTGGTAAAATAAAATTCCGACATAGTTGCGGTCAGGAAGCGTCCACAATCAACAGGTTTAATTTTTTCCAACTTATCTTCGAATATGTTAGCAAAACTGGGCGTCCAGCGTAGATGTCGAGCAAAACGACAATTTGTTTTCATTTTGCAGTTCCTGTACAGGTTCATCTGGGTGAAGTATTACGTTTAAATGTAATTCATTTATTGATCCTACTTTTCTCTCCCTCTCTCTCCCGGTTTTCAACTGGATCGGGCCCGCAACAAAGACCCGAAACAGAATCATAATTTATTCTCTAATTACTTACCCAAATTGAATCGTCCGTTGCCATCGCACCCTTAAAAGCTGATCAATAAAAATGGTATGTTTTTATAATATCGCATGTACCAGTTTACGACTTGGAAAGTTTATTCAAATTTTTCTACCTTGGCACAATTTGTTTGTTTATTTCTAACCTCACTTTCAGTTTTATTCATCCAATAGGTTTTACCCGAATAATTATTACATAAAAATAATTTTGTTGTGTTTTATTTTTAACTACTTAATATTTATTTATAATATTTTTTTTTTATTTGAGGTGCAGCATGGTGGTCGATGGCTTCACACTTGGCAGCCCAAGACTACTTGGCCAGGCTGCAGGCGTCAGGTTTAAATTTTCCCTCCTTGGGCAACCCAAGTGATCTCCAATACGCATCTTTAGGGTTGCCTTCGCTCTCCCACATGAAATCATCATCGAAAAACTCGAAAAGTTCCACATACAGATCGAGCCACTCCAAAGACAAACACTCATCATCATCATCATCAATGTCCAAGCTGGACGGTAGAATAGAACAATCACTGAAATCGTCGATGCACAACAGCAAATCGAGCGGTTCTTCGAAATACTCTTCCAATTCTGGTCTGACAATACAGCCGAGCATGAAGTTACCAGGCAGCAATGGTGACAGGAGCAAGTCATCGAAGAGAGATGACATGGGCTATTTAAAGCACATGGACAAGCCAAAAGTTTCCAGTGCTTCCACGGGCGTGAAAGTTTCGTCTCAGCCAGCGCCCAGCATCTTCACCAGCCCTCTAACTTTGGCCAGTAACCCCGAGAAGGCCAGTGCAAATAATACTTCTCAGAATTCTGTAAATAGTCCTAGTGCTGCCAGTTTATCTACTAGTATTTTAAGGTAAGAATCTTATTTATCTAATCTAAAGTGCGCTAGTTTGCAAATTATTAATACTATGCACAGTGTCCTCCAGTATGGTGCAGGTCATACAAGTAGACGCAAAAATATATATTTTTATATTTACATAGTAGAGTGAAAAACTGTTGAAATTAAAATTGTAACCGCTTTAGAAAGGAGAAATTGCGCAACCACAATAACCCTTCGATTTTTTACGTTAAAAGAAAAATTTAATAATGTTATCATTAATAATTAATAGTGTGCCATTTGCACCGTTTTATTGAAACAAACTATGGATAAAAAATTAATGAAAATTTAGAGAAAGATAATTTAATGCAATGAGCCATAACCTTTTCATTATCATCCCATTTGTAATTTTTGCTAATTTATATCATTTTTTTAAAAACAAATGGCGATTTAGCCCTATTCTACAAGCATAATAAAAAAAAGTACTGGGAAGTCTCAACAATTTAGGTTCAGAAACCGTTTTAAATTTTGGTGCTCTCTCTTTGAATAATAAATAATATTGTTTTCTACTCCCACCTTTAAAACGCCCTTTATCGTACATGTTTCCATGACAATAGGCGACCTTTCAAATACACATTGACAAGTTGTGGCTTTATGGCGCTTTAGTCACGGGCTGAAGTTGGTAACAGGTTTTTAGTCACGGGCTGAAGTTAGTTTCAAATGTCATACAATCGTTAAAATAAAGTGCCCTTCTTGTAAAATAATACTAAATGTGAAAATTATTTTATTATTTCAATACAAAAGTATTAAATGGTTTCTCAACGCCAATATTTGAAAAGTTTATATAAACATTGTACTGACCTGACGCCGGCAGTAAACTATAACTTAAATTCGGGCACGGACTCCACTGTAAAGTGCTCATAAAATATTTTCTTTACTTTCACTGTGAAAAACTGTCAATTTTCAAGAAATACATTTTGATTTATAACCTTTATAATCTGTGTTTATAACACATTTGACGTTAACACAGATTCCCCTATTGTTTCATAGATGGCGCTCTATACAAATTTTTGATTTAAATCATTTTAAGATAATAATAAGTATTTGTCGTAGAAAAAGTATAGTATGCACCTCGTTTATAAACTTTTCTTTACACTCATTTATTGAAATTAAATTCGTGTACAAAATGGCGTTTATCAAACTTAATACATAATATACTATTTCCTACTCTCACCTTTAAAACGTCACGGGCCGAAGTTAGCAACAGGTTTTTAGTCGCGGGCTGAAGTTTTAAGTTAGTTGAGAGTTGTCAAATGACATACAGTCGTTAAAATAAAGTGCCTTTCTTGTGAAATAATACTAAATGTAAAAATTAATTTATTATCTCAATACAAAAATACAAAATAGTTTCTTGACGGCAATATTTGAAAAGATTATATGAACGTTTGTAATGACCTTTTGATTTTGCTGTAGTAGTGCAGTTAACCTGATTTAACTGATAAAGCGGTAAAAATTTTGCGTACAGTGCCTATTAAACATTCTCTTCTCTTTTACTGTGAAAAACTGCTTCTATATCGATTGTTAGTCTATTTTCAAGGGATAAATTTAACGAAAATTCCAATAAATACAACTGTCACTTTTTGTACCTTTAACATTTTCTGTAAGTATAAGAATTTTTAATATTTTAAATTATCAATAATTGTTGAGTTTATTAAAATTATAACGGGCAATGTTAATGGTGAAATTACGTCAAAATTTTTTATTTTCGTATAAATGTCGCTTTATTTAATTTAAATAATTTTTTAGATAATATTAAGTATTTGTCGTAGAAAAAGTATATTATGCAACTCGTTTATATAAAAGCGTGCAAAATTCATAAAAAAAAATAATTAAGATATAATTATTAAATTATGAAATTTTAACATCATATTCATGTGGTAATTGGATAAGTAGCGGTGATTTTATACTGGTTTAAATATAAAAATCTTGTTAAAGTACACTGAGAAAAAAGTTTATTGCTCCCAAATAAAAACAATATTTAAATATGGGACAAGGGTACAGTTTATTTATCCTAAATATATTTTTATTCCCGACACATAAAGTTTTACTAAAGTATATTTATCGTTATTATTTCGACTATTTAGAGGTAATAAACAATATATTCACTATAAATAAAAGTATTAGCTACACAGTTTATTTGTCCCATTTTTTTCTCAGTGTAGATTAAAAATTACATTATTTTGTTACTATTCCATTATGTTATTATCTTAATTTTACGTTTTGTAAGTTGATAAATGTGTAATTCTTTAAAATATTGATTAAAAGTAAAGTTAAAAAAAATCTAAATAACTAAGATCATATGGTATTAACTCTAATCAATTACGTGTTTTAGTGCTTAAACCAGTTTATTTTCACCGCTACTGATTTAATTAAATTATTTTTTAAAGCATCCAGGCAATTAACTTACAAAACTTGTGCTAAAATTTTATAAAGATAAATTAAATATTTTACAAAATAATGTACTTAATTTTTAATCTACTTTTATAAATAAATATTAAATAATAAAAAAATAAGGGAGGAATGAGCGACAGTTTTATTTTAATTAAAATTGTTTATGCCATAGCGCCTACTGCTGGAATCCAAATAGTTTTTGTCTCGTCAAATTATATTGCCCTATATTTTACTGGGGGACACTGTGTATGTCTCATTTATTCATAATATTATGCTTTATACCTCTTGTTTGCTTTTGCATTTGTGTTTACATATTTCAATGTTTATCTTATCATCTAAATGTTCCGCTTAATTTATGTGTCAAAAAAGATAATTCCAACTGCACATAATGCGATTTGAAAACCCAAAACGCAGTCAATACAGGAAATAATCAACTCTTATTTTTTTGTTAGTGCTGCTTTAGAAGGCAATAGGTAAATATAGAACATGTCATTTTTGCGGCAGCATATCTCGTTACGTGAAATCTTATTTGTTTGTATTGATTTTGCAGCGATCCAAATTCTATATTGGGTGGTGTACGGTTACCCCCGGATACCGAAATAATTAAGTACACTTCTTCTATTGTGGGTCCCAAAATTCCCGGCACAACGAATAGAGGAAGGAAGAAGACCATCTCACTGGATCCACCACTGGTAAGAAATTTGTTAAAACAAAAATATAACATGAAATTTTTGTTTTAAGTATTATAATTTAAAACTAAATTGTGTTGGTTCATTTATTCGGTATCAGGAAAAATATAGAACCCCTCGACAAAAAATGTTTTTTGGGAATTTTTTCATTCACAAAACACTTTTCTTTCTCTAGGACCAGGATGGACTCACTCCACCTTCCACACCGTCCGTGGACCGGGTGGAGGTGATCAAGCTTCCCGCCACAAACGGAAGTCCTTCCGGCGTGTTCAACAGCTCGGGGGGCTCAGAAACGGCCGGAGATTATCCGTTGAATCTGTCGCTGAAACCTACCGGTATTGCCGGAAGCGGAAGCTCCTCTCTCAATTCGCTCAGCAATATGTCGGCCAACATCGGTGTCGACAGAATATGTAAGAAAAAAGTCTTAAACTAATTAATTAATACCAGTTAATACGAATTAAGCATTTGGTGACTGTTAAATGAAATCGTTTTAAATAGCTTTCTAAATTATGAATTATAGGTCAATTCTGGGTTCTCTCGTAAAATTTCTGTAAATTCGTAAATCTATAGCTTACGATGATCTGTAACTATAATGCTTATAGAATCGTAAAAGTGGCAATTCTGGGATGTTATCTGTAAATGTCTAATTTAAAGTAGTATAAACGAACTACTGCAACTTCACGCCTATTTACTTACGATCAGCATAACCTATATTTTTAAATGTATTATTTGGTTTATCCACAGTTTATCGGTTTTCAGCATATAATATAATACAAAAAGTAAGAAATTTAAACTGGTTGAGGAATAAAATAAGGTAAGATAATTTTACATTTAAAAGAACATACAATATATAATGAATAAAATTGTTAGTGCGTTGAGTGAAGAAGTCAATCAATGGTTATGGTTAGTGGTAACGCAAAAGCAACAAAGAGAAAAAGATAAAAAAAAACACCACTCCTCAACAGTTGAACTATATTTGGATGCAATGGATGGAGATTATCCATTGTAGGATAACTTTGAACAAGGAGCAGAAAATCAAAAAAAAACATTTTGAGCTTAATAAAACCTATTTAGAAAATTATATAAAGCTGAAAGAAGAACAATTAGGATTTGAAATGAAAAAATAGTAGATTATGTCATAAGGAGTAGAAGCGACTCTTTTTGTGGTGAGTACAGAGATTGACGGCCGAAGCGTAGCTGAGGCAGGCAACTGTACGAAGCACAAAAAGAGCTTCTACTCCAAATAACATATACAATTTTTTTTTCAAGGGCGTAATATAAATATGATAAGCAATGGAATTATTTTATTTACTCTTAACTCATGTGGTATAAAATTTTGGATAAAAGCATTAGAAATTATTGATAAGAACTAAAAAAACTTATAACCCTTACTTACAATGCCGATAAATATCCTAAACCATAGATAACAAAGCCTAAACTGAAAATAAACCCTGCTCTGTCAAAATGCTGCGCTTGAATTAATTTTGACGTAGGTACTGACATTTGTTTGGAGTTCCGACATTGGCAACTCGTCTATCATCATAATATTATACTAATAAACTAGTTGTTCTTTATTTCTTTCAATTAAAATTTAATAAATAATCACTAAATATTCCGTGCGATTATAATTAATATAATTAATACAACGTGATTGCTTTGTATGAAATTCTAAATTAATTTTATTATTTGACGTCTATTGAGACACCTATGGATTTACTTCTATCCCTAGGCTTTTTTGAGTTTTTTGTCTGCCGCTAATGAAAAAGACGCACTTCAACTATCTCTATACAGGCATATAAGGTTGTATATCATGGCCGCTTGAAAAAAAATTAAATTTTTAAATCCAAATTTTGATATTTGATAACTAATTAGAATATTTATTTATTTTGTTATTTATTTCTTTTTTGACCGAGTAGGCTGTGGTTTATTTTTTTTTAAGAATATTATTTTATTTTATTGTCATATGTAAAATAAAAATATAAAGTTTTTGTATTAATACAATTATTGTTTTATTTAGTCAAAATTGAAATTATTTCTAATGTAGTTGGCCCAGGCTGCTTGTCCCAATTGATAAATATTACCATTATCATATCCACATTGACATTATTAAAAATATTCATGTTTTTAATCTTTAAATAGCTTTACATAACCTAACAAAAACAAACTGTAACTAGGAACGATTGGGAAACACCCGATCGTAAATATTTACGATTCTATAAGGTTTTCTGTAAGCTACAGGAAGCGCAGAATTGCAAATTGTCTATAAGCTTATAGAAAGTTACAGATTTGCTTATAGATGCTTACAGATGTGCGCAGAATTGACCTATTAAATATATTTTTTTTAATTCAAGTTTAGTTTGAGATTTTTCTTAAATTGGTGATTCAGTAGTTTTTTGGGAACGAAATGTCGACATTTTCCACAAATTATTTAGTTTATACAAAAGTGAATTCGGATCCTCATTTTTCTAAAAATTCACTAGTCGGTATTTTCGAAAGTTTTATAAGCTGCCAACTTATGCCGACTGCAGCTGCAACTGTAGCTAATGCTAATAATCGATTTGAACTCATTTATTTTGGGAAGTGTAACGATTATTTGCAGTGACTTTCCGGAAACTCGATTTTATTCCTTATTTAATTTTTAGTTCCAATATTTTGATGCTGCTAAAGTAAATTTGAATATGTCAGTAAATTTTTTCAGTAGATGAAGTAAATATAAAGCCTTGAAGAAAAATTCGAATCGATATCGTCATGTTTAATGATTTTGTAAAATTTCGTTATTCGTTCGTGAATTTCGTAAATTCAAGTGGTTCCAGCGCAGTGATGCCAGACGTCTAGTAATTACCAGAATCTACGATAATTTGAGACTTTAATTACTCTAATTTCTTGATTGAGTGTGTAGCAAAGATCTCTCCATCCTGAAAATAATGATTTTATTTAAATACTGCGTTTTGCATACTACCTACATCCACATATTTTGCTAAAGATTTTAAGTTGGCTTTATTTTGACGTTTCTGGTAATCGCTAGTATTCTATCTGGCAACACTGTTCCAGTGTTAATTAAATTGATATTAAAAAAAAAGTTGTATATTATGATTTTCGTTCAATTTAGCCTTAGTTTGGGCAATTTTAGAGGGCAATTTTAAGTTGTTTTTACACTTTTTGAAAAACGGGGAAACACGGAACTTTGACATTTTACCCTGTCAGGAAAAACATCCAAAATCCAGCCATTTCGGATTTTTCGACAGATTGACAAGTTGAAACAGAAAAGCTTAGTGTTAAGATAAAGAGCTATTTGGAAGCTTTTTAGGGGGGCGCATAATACATTTTTTTGCCAAAATTAACTGTCACCTAACTTTTCAAGTCATACATTTGACCAAATTTGTATAATGGATTATTCTTTGCCCCGGACGAAAGATGTTGCCTTGGCATTTTGTTTTTCAATAATGACGCATTTCTTTACATTTTAACATTCAAAAATCGGCAAAATAATCCGAAAAAAAAATTATTGAAAATCCATTCTCGAAACCTTTTGACTATTACAAATGTTTTCTTTTTTGTAGCTCGTCGTAAGCCGGGTCCGAAGCCTCGTCGGTGCGTGCCGACGGGCGGTCAGCATCCGCCCGGCGCCCCGAGCGCCTCGTTGGCGCAGCTGTTCGCCCAGGCGGACTCTCCGCGCCCGCCCAGCCGAAACGAAGGTTCCGACGGCGGCAGTTCCACATCTTCCACGTGCGCGGCAACTTCCATAAACTCCGGCACCATGTCGAACTCGCACAACTCCCACAAGGAGGGCAGGCCGAGGAATCTGGGCAGGGGGGTCAGCAAGCCCAAGAAGAACACCGTGGCTTCGTTGTTGGCGCAAAGTAGAGCCCTAGGTGAGGATTAAAAATAAAACTTCACCTTCATTATACATAGTAATCAAAAAAATATTCGTCCAATTCAATTTTTTGTTATGGCACGCCGTTTCACTTTTTAATCGGATAAGAAAGTTAAGTTAAATGATAATACTTTAAAAATAAATTGCACTGGAAAATAATACCTACAAAATAATACATAAATTAGTATTAAACGTTTTGTTTTGTTTTGATGTTGGGTAATATTTATAATATTTATGGCACGCCATTTAAAAGAAAGTTGAAGTAGGTTTTTTAAAATTATGAAATATATAATTTTTTATAATTTTAATTATGTCAAGCATAAATTTAATTCAAATTTAATGAAAACAGATTGGAAAAATAGTGAATTTATTTTTTATTTATTTATGTATGACCTCAAAAACTGGTATGGAGGCCTATTGGCACAACATACAGAAAAAAACTAAAATTAGGTAACAACTTATAAGTTGTTACCTAATTTTAGAATCACAGTTTTTATCTATTTTTTTTTGTTATATTATATATAATATAACAAAAAAAATAAATAAAACTGTGATTCTAAGCTATAAAGTAATAAAATATATAAATCATAACAAAGAGATAAAATATATCATATTTTTATGTATGCAAACAAATTTAAGAAAAATGTCCAGAGATCAGATATGCATTTACTTTCACAATAAAACTATTCCATTCGTCTATTTGTTTTATAGTCGCGGCCAAATCTGTATGGGTGCACGTCATCAACGGCATATGACGTCAGCGTTAAGGTCTATTCATACGTGCCCAGACACAATCTAACGCTCGTGTATTGTTGACTGTTTATAGCGGTGGGGGCTGTTATTAAGATGGAATTATAACGTCCTTGTTATAATCTTCTGCACTAACTAATTAGGAGTTTGTTACAGGCAAATTTTTATTAAATGTGTTTAAAGAGAAAACAAACGGAGTTTATTACATTTTTATTACATATGCACATAACAAAAAAATACTAAATTATCATAAACACAAAAATAATAAATTACCAGTCGTCCTTGTCATCAGAGCAAACCAGGTCAGAATTGAAGTCTGATTATTTCCCCAAATTTATTATTAAGGGCGCAATGTCTTCGAAATCTAATAAAGGCTAGTTGCCAACAAGCCTTATATCATTGTTTGCACAATCCAGGGATAGAATCTTATAAACATAATGTATAATATTATTTATAATAATTTGCAACAAACGATGCACAGGACATGCTTCCGGACGAAATGTCACAATTACAAAAACACGTCAAATATAAAATGACAGCGACCCATCAATAATATTGAAAGGTGCGCGCCAGCCTTAAGCTATTACCAACTGGCACACACAAAAATTACTAAGTGAATGGTTTTATTTTGATAATTTCGTGAAAAAACGTTTTAAAACAAGGAAATTGTTACAGTTCTTGGTAAACAATACGCAAATGAATGATTTCTTTTTAATAACACATCAGAATTACGCAAATTTAACGGCAGTAACTTTACAATTCAAAGTTGGTAATGCTGACGTCATTATATCTCATTGATGACGTGCACCCATATAGATTTGGCCGTGACTATATTATGTCTAGGCATAATAATAATTATTTTTTTTTATCCATTTTAATTTGATACGCATTTTTTTGCAACATTTAAATATTTCACCCGACGAATATTTTTAAACATTTTACATATTATTTTGTTAGTTGAATTAATATTTGCGTCCTTTAAATTTGGTCCATTTTTATTTTGTATGTGGTTTTTTATGTTTTTACTTTGAAATTTATTTTGGAATTATTGTCAGACTAAAAACATTGTTAAACAATTTTTTTTAACCATTTTATTTTATTCTATTATTTTTGACTTATTTATAACATAAGAATCATTTTTCCAATAAATTTTATGTGTACACGTAATTTTTATTCTAATAATGTGCAGGTACACAAAAAATTAATGCAATGCATTTTTATGTTACAATTAAAATTATGAATTTACATAATAAAAATTATAGAATTAATTGTATGTCTATAGACATTAATTAATTTTATGTGTATACACATAAAATTAACATGACGCTTTGGGAATGCGACAGGAAGTGGCAACTGCAGTAGTTCAAATGCATATAGTAGGTATTTATGCGTAATTTATCTACGTCAACTTTATCGCCAATTTGCGGAGAGATTCGGGTTTTGTCCTTCTATCTATATAGTCATATAAACTATTTCTATGCAAATAATTCACAAAACTAGAAGGTTCTATAATTATATGACGTAGATAAATTAAACAGACCTACCATTTGAACTACTGCAGTTGCAACTTTCGGCCGCACTTTCACAGCATCAAATAAATTTTATGTCAAAGAAGATGTTGAATTATTTATTTAATGTAATTTGTGTGTGCAATATTTTTGTGACAAATTAATATTTAACTTAATATTTCTTATACAATAAAAAGTAAAACGGCGTGCCATAATTAATTTTATGGGTACACATCAAATTAATGCACTGAATTTTTATTTTGAAATTAAAATTATAACTATACCTAATCAATTTTAGAATTAATTTTATGTCTACTCATAAAATTAATTTGGCGCTGTGAAAGTGCGGCCGAAAGTAGCAACTGCAGTAGTTCAAATGGTAGGTATGTTTAATATAATATATACATATTATGTAATTGAATGTAATGTAGGATACAAAGATATGTGTACGCTTCAAAAATAGAATACCCCGAAGAACACAACCCGAATCTACGTATATTGGCGCCAAAGTTGACGTAGAAAAATTACGCATAAATTCCTACTATGCATTTGAACTACTGCAGTTGTCACTTCCTGCCGTATTCCCAATTAATTTTATGTGTACAGATTAAATTAATTCTACAATTTTTATTATTTAGAGTCATAATTTTAATTGTAACATAAAAGTTCATTGCATTAATTTTATGTGTACATATAAAATTATTTGTAAAATAAAAATGATTGTCGTGTTATAAATAAGAAATTGCATCCTAAAAAATAATAGAATAAAATAAAATAGTTTAAACATCTTGTTTTAAAAAAAATTTTTCAATGTTTTTAGTTTCACAATAATTGCAATATAAAAAATAAAAAACCTCATACGAAATAAACATGGACCAAATTTAAATGACGCAAATATTAATTCAACTAACAAAATAGGTAATATGTAGAATGTTCGTCGGGTAAAATATTTGAATGTTACAAAAAATGCGTATTAAATTAAAATTTATCATAAAAAAAATTATTATTATGCCTAGACATAATTTTAAATAAATATTATTATGCCTAGACATAATACTAATTCGCTATTTTTCCTATCTGTTTCCATTAAATTTGAATTAAATTTATGCTTGACATAATTTTATTTAACTATTATTTTGTCAGACATAATTACAATTATAAAAAATTAAATATTCCATAATTTTAAAAAACCTACTTCAATTTTCTTTTACATTTAAAACATTTACGATTAAAAAGTGAAATGGCGGGTTCTTATTAAATAAAATTAGGTTGTATTCAAAAGTAATATTTATGTAAATTTTAAATCTAAGATATAACTTATTGTAAAAATATTATTTTCAGGTATTAAGCCTGTCCCGATGTTGGACCCAAACGCATCGATGAACCAGCAAATGAACATGCTAAAATCGAACATCCTGGCCGCTCAGCAGTACATTTCTGAGGCAGGTGGCGACGAAAAGGCGCTAAATAAATTTTTGCAGGAAAAATTGCGCGGTACTTTAAGCGATTCCAGTACGGTAGACGCGTCCACCGATTCCGATAACTTAACTGATTCTAACCATACTGATTCAGAGATGGAAGCGGAAGTCGCTGCCAAAAAGCAGAAACAGTACGACGAGCGACTCCTGCGGATACCGTTGGAACTAGGTAAGAAATAGTCACATTTTGATATGTTTCTGATATTGCATATTTTCATTTTTAATATGTTTTATTTTAAAAATCTCAGTGACTGGGAAATTTTGCTTATTTTATTTTAGGTCTTCATTTTTTTCAACACTTTTGTGATTTCTGTTGCTAAATATTTTTTACAAAAAAAATTACAAAGGTAAAATAAAATATGCAATATTTTTGTTCGTTAATACATATAAAACAAATATAGGACATTAAAAACTGACGCTGGCTTTTTAGTAGGTTAAAAAAGTAATTTTTGTTCTCTAATAAATAAAAATATGCAACACTTTGGCTTATGAGATTATTTTACTGTTGGGAATTCTTTGAAATTACTTTTAATGTAAACTATATACTGTATCAGTCTCAGGGGACCTACATTAACCACTTGTTGGTTCAAAATGTGTTATAGGCGGCATTAACTTTTTTATCTTATGCAATCCAAATGGTAACTGGTGGTTTAGTTCTAAACAAATATTATTACATTATTAACTCCGTTTTGGATGAATTAATTTTTTAGCATTAAATTCTTAAATATTTAAAATATTCCATATTTTTTTTTGTGTTCAGGGCACCCAGAAACATAAAAAATGCGAAAAAAGGGAGGTCAGTCAAAGAATTGCGGGAATTTGCTAGTAGCATTATGCTAATAGGCAATTTTCTGTTTTTTTATAAAATTGAAAAAATCGCTTGGATTAGTTATTCAAACTAAATTATTATTAACACCAATACACTAGATATGAAACATTCTTACTTTTTTGAAGAATAAAATATTGCGCAAATTTTAAGCTCTCCAAGAGTGCGTTCAGATAAAAAGTGTGTTTTGATTGGTGTGATTTACCCAGGTAACCAGAGCGTTTTGTCGATATTGGAACGGACTAGAGTGTTTTGCGGCTTAACTGTGAAATGTCAAACTGAAACTTAACCTTAAATTGTCATAAAGATAAAGGTAAACTATAAAAGTCTTTGAAAATGGTAATACTACTTTTATTTAAAAACGTTTTAGACAAAAAAACAGAAATGGATATCACATCGGGATCCGTTTACGACAAATAATTATTATTATCTTAAAATGATTTAAATCAAAAATTTGTATAGAGCGCCATCTATGAAACAACAGGGGAAACTGTCAAATATCACATTTTTACATTTTATAAACACAATTATAAAGGTTATAAATCGAAATATATCTTGAAAATTGACAGTTTTTCACAGTGAAAGTGCTCTTTTTACAAAAGTGCTCTTTTTATACAAAAGTGCTCTTTTTAGTTCCACCCTTACTTCTTAAGAAGTCCGATAAGCCAACTGAATGGCTTGTGCAGGTTAGGGGTAGGAACGGACCGCGGGCTTAAAGTCCCCTCCGAAGGACTATTACACAATAGGACAAACACAAATAAACAGCCATACCCTTGGTGGGATTCGAACCCACGACCTCCGGCTTGTAGTCAGCAGCACTAACCACTCGTCCACCGTCGGCGATAAAGGAAATGTTTTATGAGGACTTTACAGTAGAGTCCGTGCCCGAATTTAAGTTATAGTTTACTGCCGGCGAAATTAAAAGGTCATTACAATGTTCATATAAACTTTTCAAATATTGGCGTTGAGAAACTATTGAATATTTTTGTATTTTTGTGTTGAGATAATAAAATAATTTTCACATTTAGTATTATTTTACAAGAAAGGCACTTTATTTTAACGATTGTATGACATTTGACAACTGTCAACTAACTTAAAACTAACTTCAGCCCGTGACTAAAAACCTGTTGCTAACTTCAGCCCGTGACTAAAGCGCCGTAAAGCCACAACTGTGTATTTAAAAGGTCACTTAGTGTCATGGAAACATGTACGGTAAAGGGCGTTTTAAAGGTAGGAGTAGAAAAAATGTTTTATTATCTATTATGAAATTCCCGTTTTCTCCTCTTCACAAGAAAATTGTCTGGATCTATTTTTTCCATTTTGTTGCACTGTTTGACAGTGTTTGTGTATTCTTCTTCTTATGTAAAATCAACTGTTTACCCGGTAAACTTTACCGTTAACATAACCTCAAAAATATTTTAAATAAATATGCCAATGCGCATGTACGCACTAAACACACCGCTACAAAGCGGGGTGAAATATTTAACGACCGAGTGAATTTTACGAACAGAGAAAACGATTCACCTAGGCAAATCACTCCACATTTCTGAACGACTTTGGGTGAAAAGTGTGCATCCGGGCGTATTTTGTGATCGCTCCCCAAGGCTGTTTGAGTCATAAATTTAAAAGATATGGTCAAAAAGGTCTAGGATAAAATCTAACAAAAACCTCATTTTCGTCAACAATGTCGAAAATCAATACAACCGTACGAGATAACCCCAATTTTTCCCCCTATGTTGTAGAAAATTTAATAACTAACATTTTGATATCGCACATGGGCGACAACAGTGTCATACGTAGTAAAACCTTACTTCCGAGATAATGACATTAATTAATGTCATTATCTTGACAGTGTCATAAGTAGTAAAACCTTAATTCCAAGATAATGACCGTAAAAGATTTTTGAATAATACAATTCTGACATTTTTGTAAGATTATATTAACTTACAGCATAAGTTAATATAATTTTATAAAAATATCAAAATTTTATTATTCAAAAATCTTTTACGGTCATTATCTTGGAATTAAGGTTTTACTACTTATGGCACTGTTGTCGCCCATGTGCGATATATTTGGAGTCGAAAAATTGTTTAATCTTCACGTACATTTTAGCATTTACAACAAAAATTGCAAAATTGTCAAAAATAATAGTTCAATTTAATTAACTTTTTACATATCATAACGTTACTAGAACAACTTTGGTTAAACAAATATTAGAAATATTCCCCAACACCAAAACAAAACACAAAGTGCTTGAAGTACTTTTCATCAATGATGTTGGCATCTTCAGAAGCAAAGTGAATTTCTATATTCTTTTTCTATGAATTCTAATTTTTGTTTATATCATAACCAGGGTTTAAAAATATCCGGAAAAATGAAGCCGGCGGAAAAACCGTTTATTTCCGGAAAAAAAACCGGAAAAATTGGGAAATTTTCAGAAAAATTGACATTTTTGACAGTGTAATACAAAAAAATGAAAGTCTATTTTTCTAAAGATTTACAAATTTTTACGGATACTATTAATTAATAACCGCCCTCGGTGGTGTAGTAGTAAGCTCTGCGGACTACAAGCCGAGAGGTCGTGGGTTCGAATCCCACCAAGTCATTGTGTACTTCTGTAATTGGGCCTGGTGCCTGTTGATTAAAAATAAAAAAAAAATAAAATTGATTCATTAAGAATTGCGGGTCGCAAAAAAACATATTCGGTGCTGTTTTAACATAACTTTCCATTGCCACTTTGCCACTTTAAAATTTTGTTATTTAACTTTATAAATCATTCATTATTTTGTAATTGGATATTTTCAATGGACTCCTTTTTGCAAAAAAAGACCCAACCGACAGTATATTTAACGTTTATGTTTATTTTCTTAAATCAGTACCTATAATCTAATTCAATGTTTAGTTTTAGTTTTATATTTGTAGGAATATTTTTTGTAAATTTGTATATTTCCCAAAAAATCAATTTTTCCCAAAAAAGGCAATTTTTTAAAGGCCTGAAAAAAAAACCGGAAAAAACACTACGATTCATAACATTGTTTTAGAAAAAGTAAGAATTGTTCATATCTCTTGTAATGGTGTTGATAATTCAAACTTATCATTTTGAGTGATAAAAAAACCAAGCGATTTTTTCAATTTTATCAAAAAACTGAATTGGCTATTAGCAAAAAAATCCTTCTGCTGACCTTGAAGTTTTTGGGTGCCCTGAACATGAAAGAAACAAACTGTATATTTTATGTACAACAAATTATATAATTATATAGAATTTAATTATAAAAATTACAAACATAATTTACATTAGTATAATAATAATAGATTACATGACTATAGTAGTGTGTGTACGAACATATCTTTTTACGAGTCAGAAAGCGACTGGAGAAATAAACCTAATAATTAAAATCAAGGGCCTACCTTGATAAGGAATTTTAGGCCTTAATCTAGCAACACTGGTTCGCAGTACTTAATTAATGGTTGTTTATTTTAGTGGTTATTGGATTTGTTTTCACAGTTACGATTTTTTTTTGGTAAATTTTAAGTGGTAGGTATAAATATTTTTTTATTTGGAGACTTTCAATGGGGGTGGGTGGAACCCACAAAACCTCTTGCGCACGCGCCTGATAGATTGAAATAATAAATATCTTTATTAGAGTAGAAACATAAATTTAATTACATGAATATTACGGTTTTATAAGTTTCGTCGAATAAATAATAAATAAAATGGTTTGAATAAAAATGGGAACTAAAAAGAACTTATTAATGATTCTGTAGATTTCAACCTAAAACTTTTTTCTTTTAAAGGTTGGAAGCGCGAAACGATAATTCGCGGCATAACAAAAAACGGCGGCATTAAGGGCGACGTTACTTACGCCGCGCCGGACTCTGCGAACAAGTTCAAGCAAATGTCGGACGTGACGCAGTACCTGGAGTACCAGAAGAACATGGACCTGACCAGGGACAACTTCACGTTCAGCTGTCGCGTGGTGCTCGGCGACTATTGGCAGCCGGTGCCGCCGGAAATGTCGGCCGACGGCAGCGAGTTCATCCGGTTGACCGAGGATGATGTCACCAGAAGGTAAGAGAAAAAAGTGCCATGTGCTTTTTTTTTTAACGGGTTCCTACGAAATATAACTTTATAGTTCTGTTTCAAGATTTATTTTTTCCATATTTTCCACACTACGTGTACAAGCCAAGATGTTTACACATCCTTTCTTAGTACAATTGAGGAGCATCCGTGCAAAACCGGCTAAATCCATTTTATTCAGTTTTTGTTTTTTTTCTGATTTGCATCTTTGGGTTCATTTCTATCGACAACCAAGATAATTCTGTTTGAATCCGACTATGTCCTTGTTAAAATCACATTTAAAAGGTAGCTTTAGGAGTAAAACCGGCCAAATCCACGTTTTTATAGCAAACCCGGCTATATCCAATAAATGAAATTTTGGCCTTAATTTTGTTTGTAATATACCGGGTGTATCTGAAAATAGGCGCACCCATGTAACTTTTTTATTTGTAAAGATGAATTTTTTGAACTTCCGGTTTCGCCGGAAATGATATCAACTTTCGATATTTAAATGGAACGCTCTATATATTTTTACATATTTAGAATCATGAGAAAATTCTGAGTCGGACAGCATCCTCAAATTGATCTTTCGACGTTTTGTCATCATCATAAAGATCAATCTAGAGTGCTTTGAACTATTTCAGAAAAACGAATTTTGACAAGTTTAGACTGCTGGGAATAGCTGAATAACAACTTTCTAAGGCAAGTTTCATTTTTCAGGCATTGTGTGAATCCATTAGAAGAAAATAATATAGTTCAAAGCACTCTAGATTGATCTTCTTGATGATACATTTTCTGATGACGAAATGTCAAAAGGTCAATTTGAGGATGCTCTCTGACTCAGAATTTTCTTAGGATTCCAAATATGTAAAAATATATAGGGCATTCCATTTAAAAATCGAAAATTGGTATCATTTCCGGCGAAACCGGAAGTTTAAAAAATTCATTTTGTACCCTTATAAGTAGCATTTTATACCCTAATTAACAATGCTAAATTTCATGTGTATCTTTATAAATAAAAAGTTACAGGGGTGCGCCTATTCTCAGATACACCCGGTATACTGCGCGTCAAAATTAACGCATAACAAGTAAAAAAAATCCAACTCTAAAACGTCTTTACCAATCTTAATAAATTTTGGATAAAAATACTTTAACTTATATCTCAGTTCAAGGGTTTTTCTGGAAAATATCCTTAAAGCCCTTTTATTGAATAATAAAAAAGTCAAAAAAAGGATTTTTTTTTAAGTAAATAAAAAATATGCTGTGAAACACCGTATTTTTGTTAGTATACCCTGAAAATGTTGTACAAACAGTAACGAAAATACAGCGCTTCAAAGTCATCAAAAATGACCACTTTTCTGCAAAATAATCAAAAAGGGGTAATTTTTACCGACTTTGAAGCGCTGTATCTTCGTTACTGTTCGTTTGATTTGTACAAAATTTTTAGGGTTTACTAAGAGCATATTTTTTATTTGCTTTAAAAAATCCCTAAAGGTTATTTTTTGAACGTTTTTTATTATTAAATAAAAGGGCTTTAAAAATATTTTCACGTAAACTATTAACTATTTTTTACAAACTTTCATAAAGATTGGTAAAGGCGTTTTAGAGTTAGATTTTTTTACTTATTATGCGTTAAATTTGACGCGGAGTGTAGAAGTTTTCATGTTGATTATTACTTTTTGCGTTTATTTTTAAGGTTGTTAGTACCTACATATTTTTGGTTTTGTGGATATAAGAAAATATAAACTAATGAAAATATAAATTTAACTTAACTTTGTCGTTTCCATACGAAAATTTTAATGCATCCCTTGAAACACAGCATGCACAAATTATAATCAATATTTATACAAGCTGTTTGCAAAGCATTTGCATAAAATTTGTATCATGCGGTATCTGCTTTATTTGTACAAAATTTGTTTTGCAGTTTGTGTAAACTTTGTTTTGAAATTTATTTAAAAAATTATGAATAAGCCTTATTCAATAAGAAAATGCGCAAATTCTTTTAGACCAATTTTTTAAGTATTGCCATATTAAATTAAGTTAATTTGGCAATAAAAAAACATTTTATCAAATGGTAAATTTTTAAGAGGGAAAAAAGCTTCCCAGTACCAGCAATCAAACCCCAGCCTATATACATATAAAAAAAGAACTTTAATACTTTTAAAGTTTTTATTTTTACTATTCATTCTATTAATTTCTTAAAAAACCTTTTTCGAATTTCATACATTTTTATTTCATTTTTGAAAAATTATTTTTTTTAAATTAAAGCTTATTAATATATCGATATATAGTTATCAATACCTTTTTATTTTTGCTACGTAGGTTGGAAGAGCTTAAGATGGCAATGAGAACAAGCCTGCCGGTAGAACAAAGAATAGAAATGGCCAGGAGGCAACAAGCGGCCAGAGCTGCGGCCAGATTGGATCGCGAACAGGCCCGTCTGGCCAAGGAAATCGAAAGGACTGAAAGACAAGAAGCTGCCAGAAGAGACAGGGAAGCCAGATCTCAGCAAATGTTAGAGGTAAGTTTACGCTAAGTGCACAGTTTAAATTTCGGTATGCATTATATGCGGGGTGTCCCAAAACTTTTTTAATCCGTACAGCTACTTTTTACCAAGTTTTAAAAGGTGTAATTTGTTTTGGGGCGCTTTGTGTGGTGTCTGCGTGAAGGTATAGTATGTGATTTTTGCATATTTTTCTAAAAAATCTATAAAAACAATAGGGTAGGAAAAGGCTAGCGTTCACTCTCGAACAGAAAATGCAAATAATATCGGAAATCGAAGGCGGCAAACTGAAATCGGACGTGTCTCGTGAGTTAGGTCTGGCCAGTTCGACGGTGGCCACTATTTGGAAGAACCGTCAAAACATTGTCCAAGCTTTTAGCGCGGAAAATTTAAGCGACAATAGTCACCACAGTTTAGATAATGGCGAAGCTATTTCGATACCTAACATAAGTGTGGTATGTCTGAATCGATTTTTTTGGTTATTTATGCGGACGTAGGCTTCGATGAGGGTAAACTAACCAGGTTGGGCTGCAAGAGTACACAAGCAACATTTTTAAACTCAAAATTCATCATTTTATTGGCTGCAAATTTTAACCGCACTATTCATCAGTATTTTCAAACAACAAACTCGTTAGGTCTCATCAAATCATCCTTTATTTTACTATGCCTTCACAACAAAATCATTTGCCTGTGCCTCTGCTGCCGGCAACGGTGCCCAATTTAGTTCAATTCAATTTTTACATAACAAAAACAAGTGTGTTGGAGTAATGAAATATGTATTTAATAAATACTATTTATTGGAAATGGTGACAATGGTATTTATTGGAAATGGTGACAATACGAACAGTACAAGTCCAAAAGTTAAAATTTTGACAAATTATTTCATAAAATCAGTTTTAGAGTTTAAAATCTATTTTTGTGAGAATATTTAAACTTTTAAATTGATTTTAGAAAATGATTTATCAAAAAAAAACATTTTGGTCATGTACTGTTCTTAATCTCACCGATTCATTTATAACAACCTTTTTTAGTGCCACGTTGTATTATTTCAAAATGTAAATGTAAAAAAATACAAAACGTGCAGCGGCCGAGTACAGCTCCCAGTACCTCTCGCATGCAGTGTTGCCACCTTGTGGGAAATTTTAAGTGCCAAAGGGAAAAGGGAAATTTAAAAATAAAATCCTGTATTCGTGGGAAATTGTAAAGTCCAATCAATATTCAACTAAAACAACTAAAAAAGAAAAGTCCAATCATGAAAAAAATTACCGAAAAAATGTTTACCATAGTAGTATAGCCTATATATATATTAGTTAACTTTCAAGTTTTTTACTGGAAAATTCCTGGTTGACTGACAGGACATCCAATTACTGGCAAAACGGCAACCCTTACAATTTGAAATATACTCGGGGATTTACCGAAGTATCCGTGCGATTTTTAGCAATAAGTGGGCCTGTGTTTCTGTGTAGTATTTTTGTAAAAGCTGGTGAAGTTTTATTTTATGAGCTGTATAACACAAAAAGTGTTAGTGTAAACTAGTTTTTATTTTCAAACGCAATTCGTAATGTCTAGTTCATCAGATGAATTCATTCATCATGATTTAAAAAAAAATATCATTTTTTTAATTTAAATTTCTCCGTTTCTCAAAATATTCTTTTTTTCTTCCTAAAAACAAAAAATACCCATGCAAAAATAAACTTTATCATTTTTAAAATTCGTGGGGAAATTTTTACCTTCTTTATGGAAAATTTGATTCTCAAAGGTTGGCAACACTACTCGCATGTTAAGAGAGCACTCTACTCACAGAACATAATAGAACTAAAAGTTCCTATTCTAATATTGGCAACAACGATTTTACAAGAGGTGGTCACGCTCTGGCCTACTTGATCTTAAGTTTTTCGATGCGGTTCCGTAGCCCGCGAAATTTGAATAGGTTATTATTTAAAAATACTTATTTTTGATTTAAAAAATACAAAATTATTTAAAATAAACATTTATTGGTACATATATACATAAATAGAAGGGCAATATAACCTAAATTAATGGTTTATTACACATAATGTAGTTAATTAACTACATTACATACTTTATATAAATTTGCCTGTTTAGATTTAATTTTAGTAAAATAAATAAGTTATTTTTAGATTTTCTGTAACAAAAATGAGATTTAATAATTACTTGAAGATAATATAAGTATTATATTAGTATATTTTAATACAATAAAACCTAAAGAGCCGAATTTCAACACATAAACTATTAATTGTTTAAAACAATTTGTTTTATACATTATAAAGACATTCAGTAACCTTTGAATAAAAATACATTGTAAGATATTATGAGTTTTTAAATAGGTACTTAGTTAATTAGTATTAAATCAGGTAATATAATTTGATCATCGTTTGTGCACATTCATCAAAGAGTCTCTGATATAATGCTAAAAAAATACTTAATTAACATTTACAACAGTCAATTTTCTTAGTGACAAAAAATCTTATTTAATACATTTTTAATACCTTGTATATATTACACAAAAATAGCAACATTACAGTTAAATCTATTAACATAGGTTATATGTTATATATAAATAAGTATTTTGTCAGACTAAAAAGTGGAATCCCACATAAAAATATACTTAAAATAAACAATTGGGATCATCCATAAAGTATATCACACCTTTTTGGAGAATTTCAGACTCCCTCCCCTCATGTCCCACATAATTATATTATTATGTTATCTTAATCAATGATGTTATAATATTTTCAGTCTTGACCCTGGTGGCAGGTCTGCCTTCCCCTAAACATGTGACCTACTTTATGGACAACCCCTTGTTAATAACATATGCTAAAAACTAAAATAAGTAAAAATAAATAAAAATATATATTAATACCTAGTTATTAATATAAATTTATATTTATTTAAACCAATTATGAAGAAAAATGATATATGATTAAATTTGATTATCATCTGCTACATTTGCTATATTGTGGATCAAAAGTTAAAAAGTAAGCTGGATAGTTTTTAAGCAGGACCCCTCTGGCAAAACATTGACCAAAATATGGATAGTTTCATTCCAGAATAATTTCATTGGATATAACCTATAAAAATCTTATTTTAAAAACAATTTTAAATTTTAAAAATAAAATTTACCTTATTTATGTTTTAAGTGATGAGTTTACTCAATCCTTGTATCCTGTTTCTCCTTGGTTAGTCCTTAAACCATTGATTAAGGTGTGTTTCTTCACTCAACGCTTAAACAATTTCCAAATAAAATTAACCATCATTTAATAACTATACTATAGTAATGTTTAGTTAAGTATAAGTTAGGTATACCCAAAGATATTATTATTATCTTTGTGTATACCTACTTAACTAAACATTACTATTAGCAAATGCGGTCTAATTTAGCAAAAGCCTGTTGTATTATGTGAACACTAGTGTAAAATAATATTAATAAATAAATAAAAACAGGCATAAATATTAAAATATTAACTCATTAACATGGAACAAATGTATGGTTCGATTTGAGCAAATAATCATACCTATTTGCAAAATTATAAGATGGATATGAAAGAAAAAATACTGATAAAACTGTTGATGAGAGGACAAGTTGCTCAAATCAAAGCCGGATTAACGCAAATATGACAAAACTACATTTATAAATATACATGCATAGGTATGAAAACAAAAAACAAAGCATTAATTAAGTAATTTGCGATTCAACAATTTGTTTCTATAACTAACTGAATGGTTTATTTAGTTTAGAAATTCAAAACTGGAGTTTTATAAAAGTTTATCACCTACCACAATAATTAAACTTACCTTAAAAAAACCAAAACAACACACAATTTCAAACAACAACATCGGCCATTGTTGAAAACTACATAACAAACTGTCAAACTTTACGATGAGTCACACCGACAAGAATGATACGCGCATGAGCAAGATGGCAAAAGATAGATGTCGCTCAAAAATTTGTTGCCAATTTCCTTTAAAAAGCTGGCCCCCCATGACTCTACTATCCCCAAGTAGCACAACTGGTTGAATTAACGTTATGCGTGGTTAATTCATAAAAGTTACGTGACGGAGTCACTCCTTATAAGGACATCATGCACAACCTCATTTATTTCGCTAACTCAGTTGTCAGCATTTTTACCTTACTAAATTATTCATTATAATTTCTCAGTCTGTAATTAGCTATCACTCAATAAACTTATTTTAATTAAATTATATTTCATTCCAAAACAAAAGTTATTATTAAATAAAAATAAATTGTTTTTAAAAACTCTTTCGGGCACTATCGTAACGTAATTGGCGCAGTCGGAGTTTCACCAAGACAATTTGGCAAGAAATTGTTATCGTCCCTACGATTAATTGGTGATTGAACCAGGTGAATTTTCAAGTGAGCAGACACAAGAAACCATCACCACACCCGTCGCAAGTGAGAGGACATCACAGATGCAGACGGTACCAGCAACGATAATTTGCCTGTAAGTACTTATGTCATTTAATGAATATAGATTGTTCCCTAACGACCCCAAATCAGACTCAAGTTCCGAAACAGATAGCAGCGTCGATTTAGACGACACCATTATTGAAAATATTTTAAATCAAACCCCTGACATTAATCTTGCTAATTTAAATATTTCCGAAACAAATACCCCTAACCCAAACATGGCTAACGTCCTTAAACCCGAATACCTTAAAATGATCCCAGAATTTTCCGGAGAATCCGAACTTCTACCACGATTTATTGAAATTTGTGAAAAAATAGTCACAAAATTCTATAATGTCCAAGACCCAACAGATTTTCAAAATGAATATTTAATGTCTAGTATTTTAGCAAAAGTAACAGGCGATGCCGCCATCAAAATTTCATCTTGTTTAATTACCAATTGGGCAGAACTAAAAACTGCTCTACATAATACATATAGCGATAAAAGAGATGTTTTTAGTTTAGGTATCGAAATGACCGAACTGAAACAAGGATTTAGAGAATCAGTTTTCGATTTTTATAATAATAT